TTTCTGTATATAAATAAACCGCATCATAAAATATTTTTTATTTTTAATAAAAAGGGAATCTAAAACATCAAAAACCTTTCAATTTTCAGAGCAGGGTTTGCCATGCTCTATTATGATAACCGCAATACGTACAGTACCCCTGAGAAAGATATCATAATGCAATTTTTTGAACGTACTTTTAAGCGAGGATCTTGGAAGGAGATCTCGTCTCATCTAACATCGATTTTGTAAACCCAAACTCGGCAATTTGGCTTTACGCCGATGATGTCAAAGATGACTTTCACCATTCCTATCAAAAACAATGCTCCCAATCCTCCACACTCTTTCTACTTAATTCAAAAGGATATTGAAGCTATAGTAAAATGGAAGTTAGTCCTTTCCCAGTCTAAATCTTCCCATTTTTCTAATGGGAAAATTCTGTATCAATTTAAAATCAATCCTTTACCTATTAAATCTATTGACCTGGACAACTCTAGGCGTCATTATTGTACTCCTTTAAAATTTAGCAAACACATCGAATTGACATGTAAAAAAGACTCATTTTGTGATAACAGAATCCTCAGGTCGATTACTATTCCAAACATTAACACCTATAGAAAATGTTTTATTACTTATGTTCGCCCCATTCTTGAATATGTTTCGTTAGTCCGGTCTCCCACAAAATCCTCATATCCAAGCTTGAAAAGGTTCAAAAACATTGACTCGAATTGCTGTTTAAAATCGACTTTAAAAAAGATTGCTCCATCCTCTATAAACAAAGATTTAAACAAAGAAACTATAACTTTTTTCTCTCAAATCATTACACCACCGCCGCCTTGTCATAGATTTGGTTGAATGTTTCAAAATTGTTAAGGGAATTGAGAAGCTTCTTAATGTCAAAATTAAAAAGTTTTTTTTAAGCGCGCATCTACAGTACTGGACAATGAAATATCATATTTAAAAAACGATCGTCACTTTCGCGCGCCTGTAACTCCCTTGTCTTTGAGTTTAAACTATTAGTGTTATACATTTTCTGAAAGCTCTTTTCAAGGGCTACACAATGGTAATATTAATATTTACAAATACGGTAAAGACAATGGAGTTACAGAGGCGCAAAAGTGACGATCGTTTTTCAAATATGATATTTCAATGTCCAGTAGTGTATCAGCAAAAAAAACCATCAATTTGACTGAGATTTTTAGCAGATATTTTTCTTATATACAGTTGACTCTCGAGATAACGACTCTGTCGAGACTGCGAATGGAGTCTTTATATCAAACATCGTTATATAGAAGTAAATAAGACCGTAAGTATGAGTCGTTGTAGCGAACAAGTCGTTATATCGAGAGTCGACTGTACAACATATCCAAATTTCGGACTAATTGAGGCATTTATGAAGTTTTGAGATCGGCTTTGACTTGAGCCTAATTCTAAAATAGGAACAAGTAGCTAAGCATTTCAGAAAAGTTTCCGTTTCGCTTTAGAAAGATTTGAAAGACTTTTTGCTGCTTAACACATACACGATGGCATGGGTTGATTGGAAGACATTGGTTGGAAGACATTGATTGGAAGATATTGATTGGAAGACATTGATTAGAAGACATTGATTAGAGGACATTGATTGGAAGACATTGATTGGAAGCACACTAGTAACTTTCAATACTTCTAAAATCAAACTTGTTGACCTAATTTGATTGATATTTTTCATTTTCATCAAAAAGTGATCCATTCCCGTTTGGAAAAACTGGAATGGATCACAATTGGCTAGACCAAAATTTCTAAAAATTTCCTTGTATATTGAATTTTTTACGCTGAATCTGAATCTGTCGTTAGTTTTTTTGAATTTTTAATAGCTTTTAATAAAATAAAGACAATCTTTTTGAAGCTTCCGTACGGTGCAACCATTGGACTGTCAACTAGCTGAAATTACAAAACTACGAAGCCATATGTGTATTGTTTCAAACAGTGCACTACTAGTGAACAAAACCAAAAACAAACTTTTCCTCATCTTTGATTATCCGAGAAGAAATCATCATCACCATAAATTACCCTAAAAAGAGTTCCATCTTTCAAGAACAACAGAATTGATCAAGAAAAAAATAAATGATTTTTATAGTGTTTTCAAGACAAAATAATCAAGTTTTAAAAGCAAAAAAGAAAAAATTTTTTGCCAAAAGGAGAAAACCAAAATTTCTCATTTAATGTCATTAAAGTCATCATAGGAATAAATTTTGGTTTAATAAAGATATTAGCAAAGTGCGAGCTCGACTTTTGAGTCCAATTTTTCGTTTAAAAGGGAGAATAGGTCTTGGCCGAACAAAGACTAAAGCCTTAGTTTGCTCAAGTATAGCTGGAAATAACAAATGTCATTTTGTGTAAACATTGACTTCCTCATGTGTTACCTTGGATCATTCATTTCCCCCAGCTGAGATCACTGAATTATGCGTAAAAATTTACTTATGCGGGAATAAGGGGAACATTTGCACAAGCTTTCTTTTCAGAGTTCCCAAGTTCAACCGTTAATCATTGAGGCTTAAAGCTTCTATGGAACAAATTTTGTTTTGATCAAAGATGTTCAAAGTGTTAACAAAGCTCAAGCTCGTCTTTGAGTCCGATTTTTCTTTTAAAAGGAAGAATAGGTCGATCATGGCCGAACAAACTGGACTAAAGCCTCAGTTTTTTTATAGCTGGAAATAACAAATGTCATTTTGTGTAAACATTGACTTCCTCGTGTCTACCTTGGATCATTCATTTCCCCCAGCTGAGATCACTGAATTATGCGCAAAAGTTTACTTATGAGTAAATAGAGAGAACTTTTTGCTGTGAAATAATTAAAAAAAAAGAAAAATTAGTGAGATAATAAGAAACAAATTGAGTAATTAAGATAAGAATTCAGTTAAAAATTTTTTCTTTAAAATGTGAGTTTAAACTTTTTTAGAAAAAGTGTGAACTTTCAGTCAGTTTTCTAACAATTCTCGAGATGAATTGAGGAATTTGTTATATGAAAAGAATACTATGGACGTTTATTTTCAGAAATCAATCTTCGATTCTTTCCCCTCATCTCATAATGACTTTGAATTCCATCAAAGGTGAGTGTTTCCAAAAATTTCCCCTTATTTTGTTTGTCTTTGTGATGAGAGTTTCTCCGGTTGGTTTTTCTCTTTTCTGAATCGACTTCATTGTTTCGTTTTGTTGATGGGATTGTTTACATTGATTGGAGATTGATTAAAAGCGCACTAACATCCCACATCAATTCTTTACTTTTGCTTTTCAATGATATTGCAGCACGATTGAATGGGTTGATTGAAAGCACACTAAAAGCTTTCAATACTTCCAAAATCAAACCTATTGACCTATTTGATTGATATTTTTCATTTTCATCAAAAAGAGACCTTGAAATATCGATTATAAACAAGGGGAAGGGAACAAAGCCAGTTTTCTTCTCAACAACAAATCATTTTTTTGTTATTGATACATTTTTGGAAACGAATATGTTTTTTTTTGGAAATATTTAAAGAGCTTTTGATTGAACTTTGAAATTGAAAAGCTTAAATTGAATTGAACATTCATTTTTTGGATTTGAAAAGCTGATTCACCATTGTAAAGATCATTGTTAAGTTTCGAATTCTATTCAAATTCTATTTTATTTTATTTTATTTTATTTCATTTTATTTTATTTTATTTTATTTCATATCAAAATTTCCAAAAGATTACAAATTAATTTACTAATAAAAAAGCTTTACAAAGCTGCTTTGCACACGTTTTCGGCAGATCGGTGAGTGTTTTCCTTATCAAAATTGAGTGAAATGAAGCGAGAGCACACAGTCGTGGCTACTCCTTTCCGTTCTCTCCGATAATACATAAATTTTCCTGAGAAATTATATATCAAACTATCGAAAAAGAGTTTTGACCATTGAATTTCATTTAATTTACTTTTTCATTTGTATTTTTAATCTAATCTATAATCTATGTAATATCTGGAAAGCTTCTGGAATCTGGCAAGCTTTGAAATTCAAGCTGGAAAACTAATTCAAGCTTTGAAAGCTTATTTTGGTCTCAATTTTTCCATTTCACACAGCTACATAATCAGTTTTTTGCTTTTAATAAAGTCAGTTTCAAAAGTAATAAACCAAAAACTTGCGTTAGTCCAATTTATTCTTGATTTTGATACTCAATCTGCTTTCATATATTGATCTCACTCAATCGTTGTCAATTTCCGTTTTCTTTTTCGCTTTCTTGTTTTTCTATAACTGTTTTTTTGTCAAAACACGCAAAAAAGGAACAATTTTTATGTTGTTTGTTTAGGAAAACAAGGGAAAAGCAAAAGATTCACGAATTTTCGACGTCAATTTCTCTTCTCAAAATGCCGGCGATTCGCCCTGAAACGTTGAACGTTATCCAGCTGGGAGTCGGATTTTTCTTTATTTTCTTTGCTTTTAATTCACAAGGTGAGTAAGAGAGTTGTAAGTAAATGGAATGATTTAATTGATGAGTAAAATGATTTGATTGATGAGTTTACCTCGAGAAAAGCTTTTTGATGCGTTTTTTTGAGTCTACAGACAGCAAAACTTACCATACAGTAAACGATGAAGCCCAGTAAACGTTGAAATACAGTAAACGTTGAAGCCCAGTAAACGTTGAAGCCCAGTAAACGATGAAGCCCAGTAAACGTTGAAGCCCAGTAAATGATGAATCTTAAGTCCTTTTTAAGCCCAGAATTGTGCTTCTCTTATAAACTGAATAATTTACCGTAACAAAGCTTGATCTTCCACAGCGCTTCACTTTCAAGTCCTAGAAGGAATCTTTAGGTTTCATTGAGCAACCGGTGATCAGCAGTGTTGCAAAGCGGGGAAATGTCAATGAACATGCTGGATATTATAGGTTTTATTGAATAAATTTCTTAAACTACAACAATTTTCAGTTTATCAATTATTTACGCTGTTTTTACGGTGGCGAATTTTGTGGCCGCGCCTATTGTGAACATTCTATCGGCGAAATGGGCAATGGTGTTGGGAGGATCAATGTATTGCGCGTTTCAGGTAAGAATAAAATATTTTCTTACTGTAATTGGTGCATTTAGGCCGGATTTCTACATGTCAATCAAACGTATCTCTTCATTTCCAGTGCCGCACTTGGATTCGGAGCAGCTAGTTGGTTTTCAAAGTTCTCTTCTATCTATTCTATTGTTTTATTTAGGCTGTAAGATTTAGACAGGCCAAAGACTTAGTCAAGTTAAATAGGCCAATCCAGTTCTGCAGCCAAGTGGTCGTCATAGCTGACTGACTAAGAGTCATGTATATTAGTCGGGAGATCGGGAGTTCCTTAGTCTAAGTCTAAATCTAAATCTAATTCTGTTAATCTTGTCTATTAGCAAGTAATTTCTAGTTCTCTGGACCGGTCAGGGGACATATCTCTCAAAGAATTGTGATGAAACGACAACGAGTCGAAACAGTGCTATGTTGTGGTCGATTATGGAGTCATGGTAAGCAATTCTTATCTAGCTATCTAGCTTTTCCTTGTTTAGTATTGTGGCTGGTGGAATATTCTTGTTCATTGTTTTCCATCAGAGTAAAACCACCGACGATATTCCTGATTCAACCGTTCATTTGCTTTATATTGTGTTTACTATTTTGAACATAGTCGGATTGATTTGCTTGGCGTTGTTGAGAACGCCACCGGTTCGTGCGGATGAGGAGAATAAGCCGAAGTTGAGTTATCCAGTGTTGTTAGGTCAGTTGAAAATCTATCGATAAAATCTATCGATAAAATAAATCGATTTTTCTTCCAATTCCAATCTAGATCAACCTGTTTAGGGTCAACTTTTCGTCTAATGTTTACGAAGAAAATGCTCTTGTTGGCGTTCGCGTTCAGTTACACGGGAATCGAGCAATCCTTTTGGACAGGAGTCTATCCGACTTGTATCTCATATACATTAAAAGTAAGTTTTCAAATGAAACGAGAAATCGATTGGTTTAGCTAGGCGACAATACGAACTCGATGCTGGCTTTGACAGCGATGTGCGAGGGATTGGGGCATATAATGGGTAAATTTAAAGAATACCGAATTAAGACCGAATTAAGACCGAATTAAGACCGAATTCTCACTAAAATTATCAACAGATAAATGTAGTAATATATAAAATGAATAGATTTGTTTTCTTTTTATGTATATGAGATACAAATTGGATCCAACTTGTATCTCATATACATAATAAGAAGCCAGACTCCTATTCAAATCGATTTGTTTTAAAGTTCTATTTGGAGATTAAAGTGAAATCTGTCAATTTAGCTGGAGGTGCCTTTGGAATCTTGGCCACTAAAACGAAGAAATTGGGGAGAGATTCGATTGTTCTTTGCGGTACCATTGTTCAATTGATTTGCTTTGCCGGAGTGTACATCAATATTCCTGCTGATGCTCCAATTCGGCAGACAAATGACACCGGTGGACTCATCGATCCACAGTTGGTTACAGTGAAATGATTTATGATTTATTATAAGTCAAAGTGCAGTAAGCTAGACATTCGTGCAGTAAGCTAGGCAAGCTAGGCAAAGTGCAGTAAGCTAGACAAGCTAGGCAAAGTGCAGTAAGCTAGGCAAGCTAGGCAAAGTGCGCGGCTGAAAGAGCCGGCAAAGTGCAGTAAGCTAGGCTTAACAGTGGCGGATTCGAAGAAAGGATTTGAGATACCAGAATCGATTCGTTTGCAGTAAATAATCTTTCAGACTTTGGATTGCTCTCGTTTGTGGTTTCTTGTTGGCTTTTGGGGACGCGTGTTGGAATACGCAGATCTATTCACTGCTTGTTGATGTGTATTCTCAGAAATCGAGTCAAGCATTTGCGCTTTTCAAATTTTATCAGGTAACGAGGAAAAAGATGACAATCTTTTTTCAGAAGTTCAGAAGAAACCAATTAACATTTATCCATTTGTTAAATCTTTAAATTTGCACAGATTTCTTTAAGACGAAGTTCGAGCTCGACTTTTGAGTCCAATTTTTCGTTTAAAAGGGCGAATAGGTCAATCTTGGCCGAACAAACTGGATTAAAGCCTTCGTTTGCTCAAGTATAGCTGGAAATAACAAATGTCATTTTGTGTAAACATTGACCGAATTTGACTTTGAAACTAAATCATTTTTCAGTCATTTGATCATTTGATTTCATTTGATTTCATTTTTCAGTCAGGTCTCTCTTGTGCCGCTTTCTTCTACGGTTCAAAACTGCAACTTCAATGGCATTTAGCAATTTTGGTGTTAACGGCTCTCATTGCAACTCTTGCTTTCTTTATGGTTGAAAGATTGAATTCGAGTGAAGAGAGAAGTCGAGAGTCAACCCAAGCAACGGATACATTTGAACTGCCGAAATCGGGTGATTCTTTAACATAAGTAATCTAGAGATATTAGCCTTATAGAATCTATGAATAGCTGAATATCTTTAGATCTCTGAATATCTTTCTCTGAGTATTTTTATCAAAATCAAAAACTGACTATATAGCTGAAAAGCTGAATATCTTTAAGTCTCGGGGTAGGCTAGTTTCCGCAATTTTTTTTTGCGCAACAGGGTCATTCGCGCAAGCCATAACTTTTTTCTAAGTGAACCAATCTTTATGATGTTGGTTTCATTTTGTAGATCTCAATAAGTGCAACAAATGAAACCAAAAGCATAAAGATTGGTTCACTTAGAAGAAAGTTATGGCGAGTTGCGCAAACGACCCAGTTGTTGCGCAAAAAAAGTTGCGGAAACTAGCCTACCCCTAAATCTCAACGACATTTTACAATTCTTAGCTATTTTTCAGTCGATGCCCCTCAAGTACCAGCCAAACAAACAGTCGATGATAGTTGGAATTGATTCTTTATAAATATAATAAAGATTTTATTTTGAGGCCAGTAAGCCATAGAAGATTTTTCATTTTCAAAACATTTGAGAAAACAAAACTGAATAAAAACCTTAACCCACTTGGTTGAGAAACTTTTTCTCACCTCGAACCTCAAGAACTTCTTTTTTAATGTTTTCTTTCTTTGTGATTAACTTTCTCAAATAATAAATGGCGGTAACAAGGCCGGGACCAGGGTTTTTCTTGCGGCTAGCTGCTGTTTTAGATCGGGAAAAGGGGAAAAGGGAGTGGTTGTATGAATGGACAGGCAAAGAAAGAGAGGTGCAGAAAAATGACAAAGCAAGGGACTTGTTCGATAAGAAAAGGGATTACAAACTTCATACCTAGTTTATAACTTTTTTACATCTTTAGAACAAATTATCTTGGCTTCTTTCAGCAAGCTTGCAAAAGGAATTCTATACTTTGACGCTTTCAATAAACCCCAAAATAGAGCTGCTGCTAACTCTTTAGCTCAAGAAAAGTTAAATCAAGAACTTTAGGCTTATTAGATCTAGTCTATGAGATCTTTTTTATGATTTTGATATTTAAAGTCAAGATCTTTAAGAATTTCACTCTTGAAAGGGATTACAAACTTTTTTAGACTAAACTAGGTCAAGAAAGTTGAATTCAGATTAGATATTTAAAAGTTTAAAAGCAGAAAGTTACTCTATTGGCTTGAGATATAGTTAACTATTGTTGTTGTGACGTCTCTGATCGAGTGCCACGTATGGAAATGGCCAGCTAGACACCTATGGGGACGAACGCCTATTGTGCGAGTTTAATATGCTCGCTATCCGTTCACCCATTGTGTGGAAGACGAGACGAACGCCCGAGTTCCGTATAAGCAATGTGACGAGCGCCGAGGTGTGCTGAAGTGTCCTCTCTCCCAATCCCAAACCACTGAACAACTATTATCGCTGTAATAAAGATTATATCTAAACCAACAATAATCACTACAATTGTTAGCTATTGTTAACTATTGTTCTTAACAATAGTTCTTAACGACTTGAGAAGGATTGATTTTTTAAACTTTTTTGAGTTCACTATTCAAAAAACTAAGTAGCTTTTTATTTTGAAAGACTGTTCACATTATGGAGTGTGCAAAACTCGTTCTTAACGATCAAATAACAATTGGTTTGTAAAATATAATCCATAATTAAACGATCAAAGATTTTCCCAGATCAAACGCTTTTTTCTGGCTATTTTAGATTGAGAAAAAGATGGTGGTTGTATGAACGATAGAGGGAAAAAGATTGGATAAGAGAGAGAGAGAAATTGACAAGGAAATTGCAGAAAAATGAAGGAGGAAGGGACTTGGATCTCTTCACTCAAAAGAAGAGACTAAATGGCGGGCAAAGGGTTTACAGCCATTGGGAAACCCCGATCGTGAGACGAAAAATGTGCATGTACAGATTGATTCTACACCACATTTACCCCAATCCCTGCCTGAAATTGCTTTTTTTTGATGGGTTTTTTCACACTCTTGATGCTAGACTTGTGATTTTTATATCTTGCTTTAGCATGTACTTTTAAAATCTGCTAAATCTTGCCATAAAAAAAAGTTAAATCTTCCTTTGTTATCATTTTTAGATCAAGTATGAGAATAGTAAGAGTAAGAGTAGTAAGAGTAAGAGTAGTAAGAGTAAGAGTAGTAAGAGTAAGAGTAGTAAGAGTAAGAGTAGTAAGAGTAAGAGTAGTAAGAGTAAGAGTAAGAGAAAATAGTAAGAGTTTAAAGAACCAATTCTTAATTCCCAATTGTAAGCAAAAGACTAATCCGTTCTTTCGTTCGTTCCAATTCGTTCTTTCAATCCATTTTTTCAATTTATTTAAAAGCTTTAATCATTAAACCATAAATTTTCAGATATAAATGTATCAAGATTTTTATTTCTCTGCATAAAACCTCAAAAGAATGAGACGTTTGAAGACAAAGCTTGAGAAAAGCTTACCGAAATTAGTAAGTTTGTAAGAAACATTAAAGAAAATCTCTAATTAAGAAAAGGGAATCCAAGTTTCGAACAGTTTTTGTTAACTAGTATATCTAAATTTATCATCTTACTAATAATCAGCCTTTTCAGGTTCATCCCAGTTGGTGCTACGAGTCATGTTCGGGTCATGGCCGATGTTGGCAACTACCAAAGCGCCAAGAATTTTGCGAATGTGAGCCCGGTTTCTCTGGGCTTTTCTGCGACAATGAGATTACTTTTAATTGTGAGTTGAATAGAAATTTGAATCATAAACGATTCTCCGTAAAGGTTACACCTTTTATCGTAAAGAAGCTTTCTTTTTTCGGTTCTCTTCAAAAGAAATGACCAACGGTTGTCACTCATCTTACGAAAAGAAAAGGAAAAGAAAAGAAAAGATTGGTCAAAATGAAAAAACGGATAGAATTACACTTTAGTTCAATAGTTTTTCTTGAAAAGGATTTGAAGTTGGGAAAATGAAGCTTACTTGAATTTTAAAACAACTTTTGAACCCTAATTACCCTAGTTTGCTATCTTTATCAACAACATACCAACAACTCCCATAATGACGGTGCGGAGTGTTGCGTAGTCTAGCTTTGAACGAGTTTTTCTCGACACTGGTTTATGTTACAATGCTCGCTTAGGTATCAAAAAATAGTTGAAATTCAGGGCTATTTTTTGATACCAAAGACGCAATTTTTGAAAGTACGGGCGCTTTGAAAAAAATGAAATACTAAAAAAACTTTTGCGACTACACGACTGTACGAGGGGGGTACTATTACAGTATTTACGGTAATTGCTTTTCTTTCAGATTGGTGGTTCTGGTTGTCAATCGGGATCTCGTTGAGCATTTTGTTATTACTGCCCGTTCTTTGGTGTTACGGTCAAGTGAGTGAACAAAGAACGATGAGAAGATTGAAAGAATTATCGATTTCGACGACTTCTTCTAGTTGTTCCCCAACGTCCACTCTCACCACATTGTCTTCAGAGAGTGAGATCTCGACCAAGTCCACTAACTTATTGCTGCCTGTATGAAAATGAGATTCATTTATATAAGAATATAGATTTTTCGATTAATTTTCTGTATCTTACCATGTCTTTGAAGAGTTGAAAAGCTTTTTATCTTGTGATTTCTTTTTTTCATTTCATCAAATCTAATTTCAGCAACTTTATTAATTTATTTCGTTCACCATTTTTCCTTTGCTTTCCTTTGCTTTCCGTCTTTCTGCTGTTTCTGTGTTTATTTGAAATTTTTGATGATGAATTTTTAATTTCATAACGCTTTTGGACAGACATTTTTCGTGATTCAAAGAGAAAACAAAACAAAAAAAGAGAAAAATTTATGGTTATGAGAGTAAAAGAATGAAAGCTGACAAAATGTTGTGAAGATTGATAAATACTTTTGGTTTAGAAGCCATTAGCAAGTTTGGCAGTCCTCTGGAGCTCATTGATTACGCAGCAGGCTGAGAACTATGAACTCTCAGATTGAAAGACCTTGTAACTCAAAAAAAGAAGCACAGAATCCTAAGAAAGTCAAGAGATGAGACTTTCAAATCAGTTTTATTGTTCTCTCAATTTAGCTATTCATTAAGTAACACAATGGTTTAACAGACTGTAGAATTTGTGACTCGGGGAATCGATTGGAGCTATTCATTTGATCGATAACTATCGATTGGAGTTATTCATTTGATCTTCTCTCTTTAATTCTACTCTGCCACTACAATATCTTTATCAAGTTTCGAATTCAAGCAGGAAAGTCTTGAACCAAGACAATTTCAGCTTTCCAAAGTTCTAAGCCGCTAAACAATTTCCCTTTCTTTCAAAAATTCAAATAAACATTGCTGACGATTGTATGCCATCATCAACAAGAAGGCCTGTCCATACCCTTTTCTGCATTTCTTTTCTCTTCCCAATTGAAATGTTTTGTCTCGTGAGGCCCCCGAGATGATCGCTGATTCATTTCCATTTCCATCACGGTCCACCCCTTTCCCCATCTCGAGTTTTTTTTCTGCCATTGTTCTTCACTTTACATTTTTCCTATCTGTATTGGGTACTGTATTCCTTGATTTTAGTTGACAATTTGTATTCAATAAAATCATTTGTTCTACTTTAATGTGTTTAAAGATTCAATTTCTTTTCAACCTTTCAGTGCTCGAGTCAGAATTGCTAATTAAGTAGCTCGAAATAAAGCGTTTCATAGAGTAACTCACAATCAGTCATTTTGAACAACAAGATAAAAGCCTTAGAACATAGCTTTAAGCTAGGATTACTCTACTAGATTACATTAAGTCATGTAGTTAGGCTAGGGTTTTATTATACCATGAAACTCGACTTTCTTCTTTACTCGACTCCTTCAATTTCCCCATTTCTTACCCCAACTTGAAGCTCGCTTTTCTGGGATTTACCAAATGAAGTGCCAAATCAATTTCTTTGTGAGCTCTTTCATTTTAAATCCCGGCACAGCTGGTTTTATAAAAGTTTCTTGACATTTGAAATTGTATATTTTACTAGAGGTCATCGTTTTTCGTTTTTCCATTTCTCGACTTGTTTTGAATGGAATTGAAAGAAACGATTCAGAGATTTCCGGTTTTGTTTCCATTTCCAGAACAACAGGAAAAGTGCAAAGAGGTCAAATTTGGCTTTATAATGGCTTTGATTTAAACATTTTGATAATCACAAAGTAAATTATTGAAAAATTGAAGAATTTTCAAGTTTTGAATCTATTCAATATTTCCCTTTCAAAAAAGGCGAAGAATATCAGTGAATGTCTGTCAAAGAGATGACTTCAAATGTCATTGTGGATCATTTCTAAATGAGAACATTGAGATCCAAAGAATCTGATCTAATTTGACAGATTAATGAAACAGACTAAGACAAAAAGGCGTAGCAATAATTAAAAATAAAAGAGACAAAGGATTTTTTGCTGTTAACAGAAAATTCACAGAATTTCTGGCAGCTTTCTGGCAGTTTCATAGAGAAAAAGGTATTAGTTTTAAGCTCAATAGCTTTTTGAGAACTGTATAATAACTGTTAGAATGTAAAATTGAAAGCTTTGATAAAATAAATCAATGTAGAACGTGACAAAACTATGTCAATTGTTGAGTGCTCTAGAGTTCTCTAGAGCTACTCTAGAGTTCTCTAGAGTAGATTGGATTCAACCCATTCTTTAGAGTAGATTGGATTCAACCCATCGAGAGTGCTTGATAATCGATGATCTTGTTAAACGATGAAATGACTGAGAGTGACAAGTCTCGAAAGAGAAAAGAATGAGTGAGACTGAGTGGCTCCAAGAAAGAGAGGCGAGAAAAAGCTTGTTTTCATGCTTTTCACCTTAGCCAGCTGGCAGAGGCATATACAAAAAGAAATACAAAAAGGAATACAGAAAGGAATACAGAAGAGAGATCTATCGACGATCAGGCTGCTCACCCTTCTCCTTTTCACTAGAGGCTGTCCCCTTCCCCCTCCTCCCCTCCTCCCCTCCTCAAGCCTCACTACACGATGCCATCGACCCCTCAACAGCTACCCTATTTAATCGCTTTACTAACTATAGTATTTGTTTTTGTTCGATTAGGTAATACTTTGTTTTTAGTGTTTTGTAGCTAAAACTGTATTGTCTTATGTTCTAAAATTTTATTAAAACTGCATTTATTAGGTTGGTGAATTGAAAACTTGAACTAAAATTTATTCAACATAAAACCATGAATTCATTCCAAATAATTTCCATTATTATTGACGACTTCTGCCCATTTTACAGGCAATTTGCGGATTCCTCTTTCTTTGCAAGATTTTGGTTTTGAATCGAAAAACTTTCAAAGCCAAGTTTTGACTGCTTCTTCCGAATCGAAGTGTTCTCCCGCAAGCTTATTACTCATGATCCGGAATAAATAGTAATCAAAAGGGGCGAGGTCCGGACTGTATGGGGAATGCGCTAAAAGTTCCCAAACAAGGCTATTTATTTTAGAGCGAGTCAGTTTTGCAACATGAGGGCGCGCGTTGTCGTGGAGGAGAACGATCTTTGACTTGGAGGGCCTATTCTCTTCGGGTTCATTCCCCTGTCTGTCCGGAATATGTTCAAGGGGCGAGGTCCGGAATGCGCCAAAAGTATGGGGAATGCGCCAGTTCCCAAACAAGGTTCTTTATTGTCAGAAATGTAAGAAAAGCTAGATAGATTATAGACAAATATTACATTACTATTGACGACTTCTGCCCATTTTACAGGCAATTTGCGGATTCCTCTTTCGTAGTAGGATTTTGGTTTGTGTGTGAGACAAGTGTGAGACTCAAAAATGGAAGACTGGAGATGTCCCAGTTTGAGCACTTTCTTCAAAAGAAACCCATTTTGGTGTCAATAGAAAAGTTGTAGAGAATCAAAAATTAGGCTTATATCCAAATTTCCAAAAAGATACACTTAGTAGTTTCGCTTAAAATGCAAGTTTTGTGAAAATTCGTCAATTTGGCATTTCTTGAAAACCAGTTTTTGTATCGTTCTGAAAATTTGGATATAAGCTTGATTTTTGATTCTCTACAACTTTTCCATTGACACCAAAATGGGTTTCTTTCGAAGAAAGTGCTCAAACTGTCACATATGACACAATAGCTTGCAGTTTTCAATTCACCAACCCAATAAAATACTTTTTTCCAGGTGATGCTCAATTTTTCGTGAAGAAATTTACTGAGGAGCAATGTAAGGCAACACCTTGTCTAAATGGTGGTCGATGTGTGCCCGGAAAGGCGAATTGTCAATGCGAGCGAGGATGGATGGGAAAATGGTGTCATCGTGGGTTTTTATTTGATTTGTTTGATTAGAAATTTATTATTTCGTTATTGTTGATTAACAATAGGTGGTCTTGTTTTACTTACTATTAGTTTAAAAAAAAACATTACCGTAAATACTGTAACAGTACCGCACTCCCCTCGTACAGTCGCGTAGCCGCAAAAGTTTTTTAGTATTTCATTTTTTTCAAAGCGTCCGTACTTTCAAAAATTGCGTCTTTGGTATCAAAAGATAGCTGAAATTCAGGGCTATTTTTTGATACCTAAGCGAGCATTATAACATAAACCAGTGTCGAGAAAAACTAGTTCAAAGCTAGACTACACAACACTCCGCACCGTCATTATGGGGGTGGAGTACTATTACAGTATTTACGGTAGTAATTCTTGAGTTGTTAGAGTTTAAATGAATAGCTCGAATCGAAACAAAGCTAGAGTTCTTGTGAAAGCTTTCAAATTCAGCACTCTAAAATATCCAGCTTTTTTTCCTCTTTCATCCTTGCCGTGTTGTAAATCACTCCAAAAAACCCCAACCAACCAAACTTTGAAACTCATCCGATTTAATAGTCGATAGTGGCTGGTGGTCAGATTCTCCTTTTCACCACAACAGCATCTTTTCTCTTTTTCTTCTTTGAAATGGCATGCCATTGTCCCCCTAATCGTCGGCTCTTTTCTGCCAGCCTTCACCCTTTCTTTTCCCCTTTTTTTTTCAAACAAAACCTGTCCATCGATATCCCCTTCTTCTCCAATGAATACAAGGGTTTTCAGAGTTTTTCTTTCTTTTTCTCTTTTTTTTTCGGAAAAGCCGAGACATGTCAAATAAGGGCATCGAAATTGTTTGAGAAAAGAGAAGAAAGGAGAAAACTTTGAGAGCTTTCGGTTTTTCTTTTTTTTTTGGCTTACAACTTCCTGCAGTTTTTGCTTGAATGGCTTAATCAATCTAAGTGTTTTGTAAAAGTTTAAGCTTTTTGCTGCAAAAAGTCTGCAAGTACTGCAAAAAGCTAAATCTAAAGTTTTCACCTAAATCTTCTCAATATTCAAATCCAAGATTTAACTTAATATCTAAGAATTTCAGGATTTAGATACATTGTTCAAACTGTTGAAAAGCCATAAAGTTTAATTTTTTGGCCATTTTTGCCTAACCCAGTACAAAGCCATTATTTTTAGCTTCTTTTTGGGCATGACAATACTTTTCCTGACATTTCCTGGACAATATTTGGCTCCTAAAATTGTTTCTGAAAGTAATAGATGAATCTCAAAGTCTTTTTTTAAAACCAAACTCTAATTCCGTTTAAAATAGTACCTCTTCTATGTCTTTTCAAAAGAAAATTAAGAGTTAAACTTTCAGGAAAATGCCGAGACGTCTACAAGAGTTGCGATCGATGGGCGGTTGAAGGGAAATGTAACACCGTGTTGGCACAAACAAACTTCTTTGAGGTATTTTTTTGCTGAACAAAATTTGATAGATTGAATTTATCACAACTAAATTGAGGTTTAGGTGAACTGTGCAATTGCCTGTAAATTGTGTACGCCGGATGTGAGTCAGTGTAAGTCTTGTAAATTGAGTAACATGCGAAAGTTTCCATTCCAGCGCTTCCAGCAGTCCCACTTCCGCCAGCGCTTGAGCCTCTGCAGTTTATGATTGGAAAATGGTATTCACAGGTTCGCAAATGAAAAAGCGACGATGATCATTAGAAATATTATGCCATTCAGGCGGCTAAAGGACTACGATTTCCCACCGATTTCTATGCAAACGAGTATGAGGAGATTTTGGAAATTTGGCCATCCGAGACACCAATGTTCGGACCTCCATCATTGAATTTAACGTAAGTAACAAGTATTTGTTGATTATCGAAGAGTAATTTGATAAAATGACATTATTATGATGAAAGTTATTGTTTCAGTAGCCGTTGTTGGGTTGGTAATGACACGAGATTGATGCACGGTTTTATCACATTAAAACCAAACACTTTTCCACCAGAGGCCGCTATTTTATCAACGAGTAATGAAGGTGAATTTATACATTGATAAATTTAAAAGAATTTCTTTTTCAGGATTAAACATGATTGAGTTGGGAAAGATCAAGAATCAAGTACTGACATTGAATGTTTCGTATATGCAAGTGCATCCGACAATGGACAGTAATGTGCTCCCGTTAGGGGTTTGTTTGATTGAATTAAAGAAATTTTAAATATAATCTTTTGTTATTTACAATCTAGTACAGTTAAAATATACTAAAATATACAAATTTGCATAGAAAAATGTAAGTTTTTCCATTTTTTCTTTTCAAAGTTTCAAGCTGTCTTCTAGAAGACAGCTTGAAACTTTTTCGACCTGCAAGGTAATTCTCCATTCGTAGTTCCTAAACATGGCAACAATTAAAATGTTTAAAGTTCAAAATTTTATCAACTCAGCCTGGATTAGTCTCTTAACTTGAATATCGAAAAATAAATTTACCTCCAAGCTTTTCGTCTCATATTCCTTCATCGCTGAGATGCACATATGCTTTGTGTTTGATATTTTGTTGAGTGTGGGCCCAGAAAGGGAAGGGTCTGTGGTCGACCCCGTCCGATCTGCCAAGTTGAGCAACGTCGGCTGGGTTCGACTCCCATGGGTTCCCCTCCGAGCGCCCCAGCCCGGCCATCGGAGTATCATCGGCTACGACAACCACACTTCTGCCTCAGTAAATGTGGAAGCAGGTTGTGATCTGCGCTAAGTGCGAAGACAGATCAAATCGTTATTATTATTTTTATTTTGTTGAGTGTTGTTCTTCAACATCGTGTCCGTTCCCGTTTGTGCTTGAAAGTTTTAGTTTTCTAAGCTTTGAATGGATTTGATTTGATTAAATTACAAAATTAAAATTAAAATTTAATATAATTTAATATAATTTAATATATTCTTAGTGATCTAAAGATTGAAATTAATCAAAAATCCTTTGAATTTCAGGCAACGAGACGTTTCCGAAAAGTGGGTTCTCTCTTGGAGATGACTGTCGCTAAATTATTCGCTTCGAATCGAATCTCGCAATTTAAAAAAATGTTCAAGAAAGTTATGGATTTTAAATTTTAAAATCATTTTTATATATCGTTTCCTACAAGATACTCATTCAAATTGTATTTTTTTTTATTATTTCATTATTTCCCATTTGCACATGGGGATGATTCCAAGTGAATTAAAGCGCACGGACGATTGGAGACCGCAACTCTCTGGTTGGTCCCCGGCTGATTCATTATTTCCCATTTGCACATTTCAAATCGATACGAGTTTTTCTGTCTTTCTATTTGTTGCTCAATATTTAGTGAAAGGATAGCGGAATATTTAATAAAATATGAAAGAAAGGATTAATTAAAAAAAAATGACAAATTCAATTCACTAGAAAGGATGTGTTTTCATTTTAGAAAAAGAACAAGGTGCTTCCCAATTCGCCGCAAACAACAGCCGCGAGTTCTTTGGGTGGCCGCCTAATCGCGCGCTTTCTGGCGCATGGTCTGGATAGATATCCGGCAAAAACTCCCCTTGCCAAGTTAGCAGTTTGGAAAAACTTTACTTTGTTCCGAAAATGATCGAGCTCGGGCGATGATTCCAAGTGAATTAAAGCGCACGGACGATTGGAGACCGCAACTCTCTGGTCGATCCCCGGCTGATTCGGTTCAAAAAACCAAATTTAAAATCCAAACTCCAAGTGTAGGAAATTTGGAAACGTTTGGAAATTACATTGTTTATTGTCATTGCTGATAATTAAAATCCTGCACCGATTAGATAAAACATGCCATTGTACTTGTCGATGTGGCCGAACTAAAATCCGTAGCCATTTGAAGTACTGCTTGAATTTGCTCCAAACAAATTAGAAGACATTTAGTTTGTGATCATAACTCTCAAAGCGAATTTCGCCGAATTTCTTCGCTATGAGGGGAAACACGTGCAATCTCAAGCCACTCAAACCAATCACAAGATACAAATATTCAGTCTCACTTTGGAGGAAAAAGGAAAAGAAAAGAAAACCCTTTGACACCTTATCGGGAAATTTTTTGAAAAATGGGGTCGAATTTGAGCGAGACAAAGACAAAGCTAGAGCTGAAAATAGCTGACTTCTGAATTCGCTAGTCAACATAAATATTTTCACCATTCTGTTAAATTGCAGGCGAGTTTAAACTTACTATTCGTTTTTTTTTTCAGCTAAAGGAACAGTTTAAGAGTTCAATGAAGAACGGAATTCTCAAAAACGATGAGGTGACGCTAAGGGAATTGGTGAAGAAATGCTTTCCAAAGGTGGTTTTTAAGTTAGTTTGAAAAAATTTGAGTTACAATTTAGTTACAATTTAGTTACAATTATTATTTATTTGATTTCCTAGTTTTAATACTTAAAACTTTGAAAAATCAAGGGTTTTAAGGTTTTTTTGTAAGTTATCTTCTTTGTAAGTTAAAAGTGTAAGTTATCTTCTTGCAATTGTTATTCTTGAAAAACTAAATTCTTAAATAAATTGTCAGAATGGCCATATTCTTGACGATTTGATCTCTGCAAAATCGGAAGTTTTGGAAAACGCGAAATCGTTTTGGTCACTGATTGCGAAAGTGACGTTGGAATGGAGAGAAGACTCGAAAGTCGAGAATTTACCGAAAACTTTGATCATCAAGGTTTGACATAGATGAGAAAGCTAATTTTACAATGGTACAGATCTCACCTGGGCCAGTTGGCCTGCCCTTGTTGGTTAGATCAGATTGATACCAAAGTTAGAAGTCAGCTCTGATCTTTCAGTCAGCCAAAGTCAGCTCTGATCTTTGAGTCAGCCAAAGTCAGCTCTGATCTTTCAGTCAGCCAAAGTCAGCTCTGATCTTTGAGTCAGCCAAAGTCAGCTCTGATCTTTCAGTCAGCCAAAGTCAGCTCTGATCACAAACTAAAACAAGCCTGATTGAACCTACAAAACTCTTAAAGTCATTTTTTCCGTAAATCAATTCAAAAGTTTTCTAATCTTTCCACTTTTGCTGATCTTTCAAACTAAATATTCTCTTCTTTTCATTGTTTTTTTGTTTAGTTTCCCGTGTTGACTGATAATGTGCTCGCAGCGGGAATCCCACTCGGAATCGATCATTTAAAGTGGGTTTTATGATAAATTTGAGAGATTAGAAGCCTTGGTAACAATAAATACATTGTTTTGAAAAGTTTAAGAATCAAAGAAATCAAAGAAATCAAAAATTGATCAAAAATTAAATCAAATCAAAACGTATAGAAAAGAACTTCACGAGCTCACCGAACGAGAGGTGACTTTCTATGAGAAGTTGGGAAATGGTTGGTTTTATCCAAATTCCAATTTCCAAATTTCAGTTTCAATTTTTAGATGAAATTCCTCACTTCCCACTACCACATTTCTATTATGGGGAGATTCTGGATGAAGAGGATGAAGAGAACGAAAAGGGGATCTTGGTTTTAGAAGATGTGGGAACAAGCACGCATGCAGCTCATCACATACCTGGATTGAGTGTACAACAAGTCAGTTAGTTTTGAAAGGATGGATCTTGTCCATTGTAGAAGCAATTTTATTCTCTAGGTTGAACTCTTGGTCGATGCGCTAGCCGGTCTGCATCATTACACCATCACTTCACCAAAGAATTGGGCAAATCATTCGAAATTTCAAGAGGGAATCGTCGAAGAGAACTTTCAACAAGAACAAGTTTGGCTAAATTTGACTCCAAAACGTTTGTTGCTTTATTTTGAAACGACAATTCGTTTGGAAGAGATTTGTCCTGAACGCTTCAAGGGGAAAATCGATCAGATCAAGCTGCACTTCGACTACAAAAAAGGTGTCCGAGCAGAGCAATCGTTCAAGGAATTGGGTGGGTTGAACTGGAAGAATGAAATGGAATGGGATGACTGGAAAAATGAAATGGAATGGGTTGATCTGGAAAAATGAAATGGAATGGGTTGATTGGAAGAATGAAATGGAATGGGTTGAGCTGGAAGAATGAAATGGAATGGGATGACTGGAAGAATGAAATGATGAAAAACGATGAACGAATGGGATCGAAAGCTAACTTTAAAGAACTCATAACTTTATAAGCTCAAACAAAACCCTGATTCCAGAAATGGCTCCCGTACTTTGCCATGCTGATCTCAATGTAACGAACATTTTGTGGGACTCAAACGCATCAGCAGAACATCCAAAAGTAACAAAACAAAAGTAACAAGATGGTTCAATTAGACGAATTTCAGCTCCACTCCATCATTGACTTTCAACGTTTCCATTTGGGTAATTGTTGTGAGGATTTGGCGAGGATTTTGATGTTGACTCTTTCAGCAAAAGAACGAAAAGACAATACACAAAGGCTTTTGTACAGGTAGAGACTTATCTTTTTTAGGAAAAAATCAGTTGTTTAGATATTTCGAAACACTGACCGATCTATTTGACGGACATCCACCGTATCCAGTTGAAAAGGTTTGTGAATGGATTTGGCCGTTAATGGCTTCAAGTTTGTTTTATTTTTTTACAGGTAGAAGAAGCTTTGATCACCATTTTCCCGTATGCGGCAAACTTCGTTCTCTTTGCCATTGTTGTCTACTATGACATGTATGAGACATTGGAAAAAGATGAGCAAAAACGGAAAGAGATTCGAGAAGAATTACTAGCAAGAGCAGAAGGGATCGTCGATGATCTCATCGATATGGTTGATCCAGATAAAATCTTGTGATTATTTTGTATTTGTAGGATTTGTGATTAGGATTTTGCAAGTGTGATAAATTTAACGAAATTTACAAATCGACGACGAGAAATTCGATGAAATAGCGATTTCTGTTGGTTATTTTTTTGCCGTTAGCAATTTTGAGCGGTTAAAAATGAGTAGAATTTGTAACAAGTTTAGTCTTAAGTGTCAAACTTTGTCAATTTCGGTGTTCTTTATTCGATTCGTTCATTAACTGCATGATTTTTTAAATTTCTAAATTATTAATGATAGCTTGGACGGTTCAAGACTAACTTCACCATTTTAGGAGGAGAAGAGAGTGAAAGAAGAACAAGAATTGCACGAACGGCACCTTATTGAAGTGAGCAGTAGACTTGTAAAGAAAACATTTGTCTTTCTTTTTTTGCCGTTGGCAATTTAAAGTTATTTGTGTTTTTCTCATCACCGGCCTTCGATTTTGACTATTTTAACTGTCGTTCGATGCAGAATAAAATTGCGCATCGAATGAAATCAAAATTAATTCAAAATGTAATAACCATGCAAAGTTATGAGGCAAAAAGTTAAGTCCCGTATTGGGTTGGTGCTGAGAAAAGCATGAAAACCCTTAAATTGTGAACGGCAAAAAAGATAGACAGATATTTTCGTTATAAGTTTACTAGAAAATCTCTTTAATAAAAGCGATCATTCAAAGACAAAGGTTATTCTTTTTTCCAACATTCGAGGTGAAAAACTAGAAAATGAAAACGATGAAAACTCAAAGAATTTCAATAGATTGAGTAAAACTTTGAATTTCTTGCTTGAGCTTTAAAAAGAGTAAAGAGTACCTAAGCTTATTTTAAGCAAGAGCAAGAGCACGAGCAAGGGTAAAGAATGCCTAAGCTTATTTTAAGCAAGAGCAAGAGCAAGAGCAAGGGTAAAGAATGCCTAAGCTTATTTTAAGCAAGAGCAAGAGCAAGAGCAAGAGCAATAGCAAGAGCAAGAGCAAGGGTAAAGAATGCCTAAGCTTATTTTAAGCAAGAGCAAGAGCAAGAGCAAGAGCAAGAGCAAAGAATGCCTAAGCAAAGAAAAGATAAGGAAAGCAAACCACTCATAAAAATTCAATTTAAAGTTATTTGAAATTTTCGTAAGATTCGTCTTTTCTGTTCTTTGTTTTTTTTGATTCCTTCTCATCAAATAAACATTTATTAAGCACCTATTAAATATCGATAATTCATAAATGTGTCACGATGAATTGGATGATAAAAGTGAAGATCACTCCAGACGCAATACCTAAAGGATTTGATAGTCCAAAACTGGCAATTGATGTAAAGGTTTACCAGCAATGAGACATAAAGAGGAGATCATCCCAGCCGTTTTTGAGAGAGCCTCGGGAACGACTCTGAATAGAAGATATTAGAAGTTTTGAATGAAAATGTCAGTCTTGGCTACGATGAATGAACTGTCAATGAATGAACTGTCAATGAATGAACTGTCAATGAATGAACTGTCAATGTGTCAATCTAATCACAGTTTACTTTCAATTACGATGAATGAACTTAAAGTTTAGGTAAAGGTAAGCTCAGAAAATTGATAGATAACCTGAGACCTGAAAAGGGAATAAAGGTTTTTTAAACCCAAAGCATTCATTATCACCATGATCGACTGGCTAAGAGCTTTGTATTTTATGCTGTTATGCTTTGTATGCTAAGAGCTTTGTATGTTCGAGAGTTCAAGGGTTCAACCCCGCCGCTAGATTATTGATTCTTTTTTTCATCTATGCGTTTTCCATACATTTAGGGCTCACGGATTGTACTTGTGTATTGTTTGTAACACATTATTCTTGTAAACAATGTATTTTTAAAATTGTATCATTTTACAGCCAACCATTGCTCATGAAAACTTCACTCACTTTGGTGCATACATCATCGCTAATGAAGAAAGGTATCCACTCGAGAAAGCCATCAACGAGTTGCCCAACCCGAACACCCATTCATTGTAAAACAAAACGGGAAGTGTTCTAGAATATGTGAAATGAGTTTTTGCGTTTAAAAGTTGATACCTTTGATGTGGCAAATAGTTGTAGAACATGAAGAAAGGCATGAAGAGAACCCGCAACCAGACAGCTACCCACAAATAGTTGGAATTGGGCTGGAAAGTTGTTGAGTTAGTACTAACTAGTACTAGAGGTTCTTTAAAGCTTGTTTATAGCTTTTTAGATTAATTTAGCCAGGTAATTCAAGTTTAGCCAAGTCAAATCAAGCCCTCCATCAACGCCTTTCAATGGCGGCGAATTTAACCAAGTAATCCAAGTTATCCAAGTCAAATCAAGCCCCCCATCAACGCCTCTCAATGGCGGCGAATTTAACCAGGTAATCCAAGTCTAACCAAGTCAAATCAAGCCCCCCATCAACGCCTCTCAATGGCGGCGAATTTAACCAGGTAATCCAAGCCAAACCAAGTCAAATCAAGCGCCCCATCAACGCCTCTCAATGGCGGCGAATTTAACCAGGTAATTCAAGCCAAACCAAGCCAAACCAAGTCAAATCAAGCCAGTTCACTTACCCATTGCTTTAAACCAGCAACAAAAGATCCAATTGTAGCAAAAACATTGAAATTCAAGAAGATAATCACTCCACCGTAGATGTTTTCTGAATACTGAATAACTTTGGCTGACTCTAGGCATTGGTTAGGTTAAACCAATTGGTACAAATTGTAAACATTGCTTGCTAAACATTGCTAATTCTGAAGCTATTCAAAACTCACCAGGAATCAATGAAACCCATCCCCCATCAACGCCTCTCAATGGCGGCGAAGCGGTGAGCATCGCTGGGAATATTGACAAAGTCACCAAAAAGATCATAAAAACATTTAGAAATTGAGGCCATGCCTGAAAAACCACTGATCTTTGAATCTTTCTTACAAAAGAAATAATCGCACATGTTGAATTGTTTTCTGAATTTGAGACCAGCTTGGTTTGGTCGAGTTGCTCGCCTCGCGTGTGGCTTCACCTTTTGACTCGAAATAGGTGAAAAAAGGCTAAAATTGAGTTCTTTTCTTTCTTCTTCCTTGTCTTTCCTATTTCTTCTTAGGCAAAAAAGGCTCCAATAGCTCAGAGCATCCGCCCGATAAGTAGTAGGTCGAGGGTTCGATTCCCCTTTTGTTCCAAACTCTTTGCCATTCATTTCTTTACTTTATCCCAAAGCAAAATATACTAGAAACTGATGTGCAAAGTGTTTTCTGTGTTTTAACTAAAACTTTTCAACTCACCGATCGTTTCAACAAGACAATTGAGGCTAGACAAGCGATGAGCACAGCGAAAGAGATCGAAAAGTAGATCATGGCCACCATTCGAATATCATTTAACACTAAAATTTCTATGCAAGATTATTATATAGAAAAATTACCAATTGTACAGAAAATACTTAAAACAGCCGTGAAAGTTCCGCAAATATTGTTGCCAAGAACGATAGCGTTTGTGTAATTTGAAGGAAAATCAGCGAAAAGACCAAAGATTGAGTTCTGAATTTCGTAGGCAATAAAACGATTGTATTAGTCAAACAGCTAATTAGCTAGTTATTTCAAGTTTTACTTGATATATTCCATTTGCTGTGTTGATGACGATCACCAAGAACATTGTGACGGCGTAGAACCAAGCCATACCTACAAAAATCACTTTAAATAAGAAAAAAATCTAATTTCAGACGTTTTTAATAAATCTAGACATTAAAATCACTTTAAAATGCTTAAATTAGGCTAGTAAGTATGCTAGAAATGGTGCGTTTGTGCAAGAATAAAGTACCTGTTTGGATAGGTGCAATTCTTGAACTTTTGGGTATTTAGAAATCTTCTGAACTTGGATTAATCATAGGATTTGGATTAGTTAAAAATTTGGAATTAAAATTTAGGCTAAACAGATCAGTGAGTATGTCAGAAATAATGTATTTGAGCATAAAGCACGGCTTTGACTGTGAAAGTTTAACGTGAAAGTGCAGTGAAAGTGCAGTGAAACTTTTACGTTCAGAACCCTCTTTGGGCTTGGATAAGAGGTATTTTGTAATCAAAACTTATAGCAAACTGATAAACTTTCTATTAATGCAAATTTCGAACCAACCTTCCAACGTCGGCGCACAGAAAATGACGATTCCAATGACAGCACTGATACAAAAACAATTGACCACCAACGGGCCAACGATTCGAATTAATAGTGAACCACTGAAAGCTTTTGATTTATTTAAATTCAAATAATCTTTACCTGATCACTAGAATAATATTCAGAATATTGACAGAAACATTCGGTATTTGTGAGGCAAGACCGAGCCAACTCATGAATGAATCCGCGTACTCACTCGTTGTCCCATTTTGAGTGAACCAATACTCGACGTAGTACTGAAAAGTGATTGATTCATTGATTCAGATAAATAAAATAGATTAAAGAATAAGTAAAACTGATAAACTATGATATAATCTAGCAAAAAAGTCTGCAAAAAGTCTGCAAAAAGTCTTTATAATGAAAAGTTCTTCTGAAAATGTACAATCCAAGGCAGAAACACTTTTACTTACTCGCGAATAATAAATAAAACGCACACTTGGGAAAAATTATCTTCCTTTTTGCGAAAATTATGGGGTAGGCTACTTTCCGCCATTTTATTTGCGCAACAGGGTCATTTGCGCAAGTACGTTTGCGCAACTTTTTATTTGCGCAACAGGGTCATTTGCGCAACTTTTTTGACGTTTTTAAGGGACGTTTTTTTTAAGGGAGTTTTTGGCGTTTTTTTTTGTTGTTTAAAATTCTAGTACGGTTTTGTTTATTCTTAAAAACCATTGTTAACTAATTTTCCGCATTTTCCCAAGAATCCGCATCCATCGTATACTGCGGTCAGACTTTACGAAGAAATGACGCAAATAATCAACCGTTTCAAGCTTTCATCGGCTATCAATCTCACTGTTGGACAAAACTACACACGGAAGAAAACTGTATTGGCTCGACAAAAGCAACGTTTTACTGCTATTTCTAATGGTCGCTTGCCCGGTTGCGATTTTGTGCAACATCTTTCTCAGCTTTTGACTTATATTAAAAAAATTTGATTTTTATTGTTGTCCTAAATTTCATTGCTATTGTTGTCCTAACTTTCATTGTTATCGGTTGCACTTTTTTGTTAAAGCGATAAAATATTTTACTAATGGTTATTAGCTCTTAGAAAGGACTAATTTAGATAAATATTGGAAGATTATGCAAAAAATTGGAAGATTTCATAAAAATAGAAGAAAATAAAAAACAATAAAAAAAAAAGCTCAAAAATGAAAATAATGATTAAAAATTCGAGTGCTTAATACAGTGTTAAAGTTGCGCAAATGACCCTTTTTGTGCAAAAAAAAGTTGCGCAAATGACCCTTTTTGTGCAAAAAAAAAGTTGCGCAAATGACCCTTGTTGCGCAAACGTACTTGCGCAAATGACCCTGTTGCGCAAATAAAATGGCGGAAAGTAGCCTACCCCAAAATTATTGCAAAAAATGACGAGCGACGAGTTATATACGACTCTTTTTAAAGATATTCAGCCGTCAAACTGATTTTGACGAGCGACGAGTTTTAGAGAATCCTGGAAAGCAAACTGTCAAACTGGTGGGAAATTCCCTTCAAGTGTGAAGATATTCAATTTACTCGACGTGTAAAGAGGATTACTCGTAGTTACTCGGTCAAAAAAACGTCGATTAATCGAGTAAAAATTACTTATGCACATTTTACTTGAGTAATTACTTACTCCGAAGGAAAACACTCGACTTTTACCAATGTTTTCTAAGCTAAACTCATTTAAATTGGCAAATTGTGCAAAAAACAAGAATCTAGTACTCGAGAAAGGGTGTGTTTTCCATTTTCAAGCACAAAGTACATAAACGAATCACCTGTGGAGCGATTGTAATGAACATATTCCATGGTAAAAGCACACCAATTCCATTCAACAACGCGATGAAATAAACGAGATTTAGAGAATCCTGGAAAGCAAATAAGTTCACATTATTAAAAAATACACTTTCTATAATATGTAAATTTTATAATACCATCGTAATCTTCATAAGATTACGATAGTTTTTGGAAATTAACATTTTAGAAAGTGGATAACATTTCTCACCCTCGGCTCCTCCTTTTCCAGCATCCAATCGGTTTCACAGGGTACTGAAAGGTTAAAATTATAATTAGAATTGATTTTTAAACTTTTAACGATACTTATTGGTTATCTTTTTCCCAAAAAAAAGAAAAGAAAGAAGCTCCTCATTCAGTGAACTGAAATTTCCCCCCACCCACCTCTCCAACAATGCTTCACTGCGCTTCTCTGGTGTGCATTTAAATGCTAATGCTTTACGCATACCGTAAATACTGTAATAGTACCCCACCCCCATAATGACGGTGCGGAGTGTTGCGTAGTCTAGCTTTGAACGGTTTTTCTCGACACTGGTTTATGCTACAATGTGCGCTTAGGTATCAAAAAATAGCCCTGAATTTCAGCGATTTTTTGATACCAAAGACGCATTTTTTGAAAGTACGGGCGCTTTGAAAAAAATGAAATACTAAAAAATACTAAAAAACTTTTGGGACTACGCGACTGTACGAGGGGGGTGGGGTCCAATTACAGTATTTACGGTATGTTAATTTGATTTCGGTTTTAGAATTGCCTGTTTAAATTGTTTTAGAAAATATATGACTTATAGAAATTAAATATTACTTAAATGATTTGATTTTAAAAAGAATTGCTATTTTTTAAATTTTTATACAAATTTTATTGCTTAATGAAGAGATGGGAACCCGAAAATCAGAATTTTATATGAAAATTGATAAATTCAAATTTTTGAGTGAGCGGAGATGACCAAAAAGTACCATTTTATATGCCGTAATACCTCTAATAATAGCGGCTCCCCTATAATGACGGGCGGAGCATCGCGTAGTCTAACTTTAAACGCATTTTTCTCGCCACTCGTTTATGCTACAGTGTTCGCTTAAATATCAAATGAAAGCTGAGATTCTAGGCTATTTTTTGATACTAAACATGCATTTTTAGAAATTATGGGCGCTTAGAAAAAAATGATTTCATAAAAAAATTTTTGCGACTAGCGTGGCTGTACGGGCGGGGCGCTACTATTAGAGGTATTATAGTAGTATCTAATATAGAAAGATTCTACAGATTGCCGACTATTAAAATCCTTTTTGAAAGAGAATGAACCCTATGTTCCGGTTGGAAAATGAAAAGAGAAGAAATTTCATCGAAATCTGCGCCAAAAATTTTCCAAATGATATCAAAATGATCAATTACCCCATTGAAAATCGTGATTTACTGTAAAAAGTCGATTTTTATTTCTCTTTCTGCATTTTGTTCTAATTTTTTTTAAAGGAAATGGCTAAATTTTGGGGTGGGCTACTTTGCGGCAAACTTTTTGCGCAACTGGACCATTTGAGCAACTGGGTCGTTTGCGCAAGCCATAACTTTTTTTCTACGTGAGCCAATCTTTATGATTTCGGTTTCATTTTGTTGCACTTATTGAGATCTACAAAATGAAACCAACATCATAAAGATTGGCTCACTTAGAAAAAAGTTATGGCTTGCGCAAACGACCCAGTTGCGCAAATGACCCCGTTGCGCAAAAAATTTGGCGCAAAGTAGCCTACCCCTAAATTTTAGTACAAAAAAAGTAAAATTCTTGAAAAAAAGGTACTAAATAATAAAAATTGAAGAATTTTCCAATGTTTGATGCAAAAAAAAATCGGATTTTCGTCTATTTTGCTTACAATTTGGATGATTCCCTTCAAAATCCTTTAAAGAAAAAGAAAAGAAAGGCGAAAAATAGAAGATTTCTTTTTTTATAGAATAAATTATTCAGTGAAAATTAGAATTAGATTTTAAAAGTGAATTTGAATGTACTTTTAAATCTTAATTTTTTTAATTTTTGGTTTTTCTCTCTGTGCATATCTTATTGTCTTATTGAGTACGCTTTATTTTATTTCTTGAATAAAGTATGAATACCGTATTTTCTCTAATAGTAGTGCACTATGAGCGTTGCCTAAATTGCTCGAAATCTCGAGAACCGCTTATCAGAGCCTATCGATGTGGGATCGGAAAATGTAGCTGACGATGAGATCTTGACGATGATTAGAGTCTTGAGCTTCTGCAAAAGCTTGGAAACTGTAAAATCGTCGTCAACTCGGCTCGGCGAGGTGCACTACTATTAGAGAGAATACGGTGCATAGAATAGGGAATTTGAAGGGAAAATGCAATAGAATATACCTCGAACATATCCATTCCTCGTCCTAGGCATTTGCTGTAGAAATCGATTGAAATAAATGGAAAAAAGCTCTTCAACTCAATATCAATTAACTTTTAAAAGATCGAAATATATTTAAAGAAAGATTTGAGTTTAAGAAATAGCTTTAAATAGCTTTAAATATAGATCTCTGATTCAATTATTTCAGAATTTATACGGAAATAAAGAGATTTTTGAGGTGAAGCTGATAAGAAATGGGGAAATAGGCTCAAAGTGACCGGTTGGTTTCGATCAGAGAAAAGAACAACACAAGAATAAAATAAAAAGTGTACGGATTTTAGACTTGTAGCATAAGTAAGCTCAGCCTGACTAACTTAATAGCGATGATCTTTTAAAAAGCTTGTGGTACAGGTTTCTCGAGTCTCGAGCTTGATCTTTATTTTGGTTGATTATTTTATGCAAACATATTGCTAGATTTCTTTTATCATGCAAAAGTAGAGGCTTATTTGGTTTTAAGTTGAAAAATGCAATTGTCTGGTGTACTTTCTAGTCTTTAATCGACTTGAGACTTGTCTCTGCTTTAAGTAACATTTTAAATTTATAGTTCTTTAAAAAAGCAGAAAGATTGGAACAAAAAAAGTGTTCTCTTCTTTTCTTTTTCTTTTTCTTTTTATATTCATTCAATTTGCCATTAGTGCATTTTCTTTTCAATTATCTATTAGAGTATCTATTTATCTTTTGGGTGTGTTTTGAGTCCCGGGTAATTATTGTGTAATTATTGTGATTCCCGGGTAATTATTGTCATTTTGTTTTGTCGCTATTCAACTGAATAAAGCATATATATGATTATTATTATTTTAATCAAATCTTTTCTGACTTTTAGGCATTTTTTAGGGTTAATTTGTGATTTTTAAAGAGAAAATGATTCATTTGAAACTAGTAATTCATTAAGATGTATCAAGCAAAGTTCTAAAGACAAAAAGAAAAGCTCCAGCATTTGTGCTTGAATTTTTGAACAAAAGGAATCGATATCTGGGAATTGGAAAGCCAAAATGTTTGCTTAATTTTGCTAGTGTTGAATGCGTATTCATTAAAAGGTGTATAGCCTTTTAAATTTTCTGCAAATTGACAGTGGAAGTTCTTCAGGTCGGCATTTGGCATTGAGCTGAGACCAAATGGATAATAGAATATAGAAGATAGAAGATAGAAGATAGAATATAGAATATAGAATATATAATATAGAATATATAATATAGAATATAGAAGATAGAATATAGAATATAGAAGATAGAATATAGAAGATAGAATATAGAATATAGAATATAATATAGAATATCTATATAACTTTTGCCCTCGTTTGCCCGAACGAGGAAGTCCAGAGGAAGTCCTTCAGGTCGGCATTTGGGATTGAGCTGAGACCAAATGGATAATAGAATATAGAATATATAATATAGAATCGATCATGTTGATCATGAATATCTATATAACTTTTGCCCTCGTTTGCCCGAACGCAAGATATTTGGCACGGAAGTTTCAGCACTAACCCTATAACGCGTTGAGACCAAGTGCGTCTGTGGTCTAGTGGATAAGAGCCTTTAGTTGTCAATCCATTCTTTTGTTTAACTTGCAATTTTTGTGATCCAACTTTTCGACAATTCAATTTTTGGCTTCTAATTGGTAAACTCCTTATCTTCCGGTTATTCTTAGCTGTTTAGACTACAATCTAAGCACTTCTTAAACAGTCATGATCATTCAAAAATGATCAGCTATGATATGTAAAAGTGATTAGGCGGCTGATCATTTTTAAATGAGTATGACTGTTTAAGAAGTGTTTAGATTGTAGTCTAAAGGACTGAAAATTTAATTCATTAGACAAGTCTAGTCTCAGTCTAGCCTTTGAAATATGTCCTTTAGACTACAATTGTACTATTTTCAGTCCTTTAGACTACAATCTAAACACTTTTAGTCTCAGTCTAGCCTTTGAAATCTGACGATGAAATTTTGAGTCAAAAAAAGTGATGGAAGGGGAAATTCTAGAGGACTTTGTACCCATTTTAACAAAAATCAAGTTGGATACTTGCTGTGAAATGTCAATAAATGATTCCATTCAATGAAACACTTGGAGGAAGTGGAAAAGGAAGAGGAAGAAAAGTTGAACTCATTGAATAAACATTTTAGCATGTTTTTTCAAAAAGAAAAAGATATTTTCATTAAATAGAAATTCAGAGAAAAGAAACTAAATAGAAACCAAGAAAGCAGTTCTGTTTTTGGTCAGAAATTTTGTCCACTCAGAAATATTGGGGAAAACAAATAGACAAGCTTTGGAAAAAGGCTTGAAACTTGTATAAAATCTGGAGAAATCTAGGGAAATTTGAATTTCTACACAAATTTTGGTCGAAATATGAAGCCTTGCGCTTTGCTAGCCATCGTTTTTTTACAATTGCTAGTCATCGTCTCAGCACAATGGGATTTCCCGTGAGTTAGCAATTCTAGTTTTATTATCTATATTTTGATCTCATAAAAGTCCCATTCATCTTCCAGAGTTAAAGTTAAGATTGCAAAAAATTACCTTTGTTCATTGGTGTTTGAAATTCAACCTTAGCTTTCTAAAGTCAAAGGAAATTAGACTAGCTAACAATAAGCCAGCCAGGACTAGCCAGCTTTTGCCTAACCTGGCTTAGCTTTAAGTCAAACCATGAGTTTGCGCAGGCCATCTCACCAGCCACGGATCAGTAACCTAGCCAACGTCCCTAATTATCAATGGATCCAAATCAAATCTTTGAATATGACCCAAATGGTGATTGGATTACGCGCCGCGCCGCGCCATCTTTCATCTATCAATATTTACTATCTGAGATCTGTATTTTCATCTCATAAAAGTCCCATTCATCTTCCAGGGTTAAAGTTAAGATTGCAAAAAATTGCCATTGTTGCTTGGTGTTTGAAATTCAAACTTAGCTTTCTAAAGTCAAAGGAAATTAGACTAGCTAACAATAAGCCAGCCAGACCAGCCAGCCAGACTAGCCAGCCAGACTAGCCAGCTTTTGCCTAACCTGGCTTAGCTTTAAGTCAAACCATGAGTTTGCACAGGCCATCTCACGAGCCACGGATCAGTAACCTGACCAACTTGTCCTTTGATCAGTTCGACTTATACCAAGCTTAAGCTATTTTAGAGCACTAAAATCCAACTAAACTCATTCATTTTCCCAAGAACTACTTTCCAGAATAAGCCGAGCAAAACGAGCAACGTACACGTACAATGGTGCCAGCTACACTTATCCATACTATCGAAATGGAGCCACATTCTCTGCACCCACAAACGGATACAATAACAATGGACAATACTATTACAATGCTGCGTGAGTTCTTTCTATTTCTTCATCCATCTCTTTCAAACAAAGCTAGAAAGCTTTCTTCATTCACTTCTTTTAAACAAAGCTTTAAATCAGCGCTTTTTTCAAAGTATTTATTGAATTTAGTAACACACAAACCTACACAGGAAACGGGCAAACATTCACGTGTCACGGTGGATACACATACAATGGAGTATACTATCCATATTGTGGCTTTTAGAGAAAATTGTAAACTTTTCTTTGCAACAAGCACAAAAATAAACTCATTTTTATGCAATGGAATGGCTAAAGTGCAAGTAAAAGCACACAAAAAACGACACAAAAAACCTTTTGAAATTCTTAAAGATTTGAATTTCTTGAAACTCCTTCTCTCCTTTTCTTGTCATCTACTAAATTCTAAAGAAATCCCATTTAAACTCTTCCATCTCAAACCCCATTTGCGAGTGTTTAAAATGAGCAAACGAAGAGCTTTTGGAGAAAAGGGAAATGGTGAATTTGCTCGTATTTTAGAGGTAATGAGGTCACAATCTGAGCATGGGAATGGGGGAAAAATGGGACAGTTGTTCAATCGGTTCAGGATTTTATGATCCATTTTGGCCAGGTGAGTTAAAAGGGAAGATGACTACTTTTACGACTTTTGAGGAAATCCCAGGACTACTGAGATTAGCTTTTCGTAGACTTTAGTGAAATCAATTCTACGAAATCATTGCTAGAAAATAGTTTAGCTCATATGAATATGTTTGAGATCAGAAAGTCTACCTTAGAACAAAAACTATTGATAATCTGAAGCTAGCGAAAGAAATCGGGATTCTATAAACGATTCAGTGTGTCAGAAGCGGTTGCTAGAAAATTAGCTCATATGAATATATTTGAGATCAGAAAGTCTACCTTAGAGTTAAAAGGAAAGATGCCTACTTTTACGACTTTTGAGGAAATCCCAGGACTACTGAGCTTTTCGTAGACTTTAGTGATATCAACTTTACGAAATGATTGCTAGAAAAGAGTTTATTTCATATGGATATGTTTGAAATCACAAAGTCCACCTTAGAACAAAAACTATTGAGAATCTGAAGCTAGCAAAAGAAATCGGGATTCTATAAAAGATTCAGTGGGTCAGAAGGTGTTTAGCTAAAGATTAGCATTTTATTAACTTGAAAATCCTTTCAAAGGTTAAAGAAAAGAGTTGGTGCCTGTAAAGAAATATTCTTTGTGTGCTTGGTACTCTTCACTCAAGCAAGACACGTTATTTCTTGTTTCGAGATATCTGATCTCACTTGAACTAAGACACTTTATTCAATAGCCGACTGACTCTGAATTTTTGGGCTCTCACTTGAGCAATTTTCACATAAAATTGACAATTGAATTAAAAGCAACGATAAAAACAGAAAGAATTTCGTCCTAACTTTTACACGATGAAAGGAAAGCAGAAAAAAGTCAAAAACGCATCAAATGAACAACAGCTTTCAGCAAACAACAACAGCACAACAGCAACAGAACAACAGCAAGAACAACAACAGCAACAGAACAACAGCAAGAACAACAACAGCAACAGAACAACAGCAAGAACAACAACAGCAACAGAACAACAGCAAGAACAACAACAGCAACAGAACAACAGCAAGAACAACAACAGCAACAGAACAACAGCAAGAACAACAACAGCAACAGAACAACAGCAAGAACAACAACAGCAACAGAACAACAGCAAGAACAACAACAGCAACAGAACAACAGCAAGAACAACAACAGCAACAGAACAACAGCAAGAACAACAACAGCAACAGAACAACAGCAAGAACAACAACAGCAACAGAACAACAGTTTCAGCCTTATATAGACTTTAAGCTATTCAGCTAACCAGTTACCAAACTATTCAGCTAACAAGTTACAAAACTATTCAACTAACAAGTTACAAAACTATTCAGCTAACAAGTTACAAAACTATTCAACTAACAAGTTACAAAACTATTCAGCTAACAAGTTACAAAACTATTCAGCTAACAAGTTACAAAACAATAAATGATTTGGGGCGCGAAATGGAATGAAGGTGCACGGATTTCCCCAATACTTTTCCAATTTTTTAGACTGTCAGAGTTCGGTAACTTTTTTAGCGGTCACAATGCCACAATTGTGCAATATTCTTCTGCTTTTGTATTTTTATTGAAATTTAATGCCAATTCTTGAATCCAAATATTTATTAGCACCTCTTTAATATATAAAATTTTATTGAGATCAATCAAGAATAATCTTAATAGCCAAAAAAAAGAAGCTCGTCAAGCAAAAATGTGAATGGCAGTGAGAAATAAACGATAAATTCTAGAAAAGTCAACAAGAAATCGTTTTTTTTTTGTAGCAGCCAGCCCTGAACCCGCTACAAGAAGTAAAAAAACTTTAAGAATTGAAATTTTGAAAAAAAATGAAGCTTTTAAATTAGTTGTACCCGTAGAAATTGCTGCTGAAGATTGTGGAATTGAACTACCGAAGGAGGAGGAATAGAAACACCATCAATGATATCAAAAATGGAAGAGAATATCTGGAAAAGATTGAGATTTATTTGATCATGATCAGCTCAAAATTTTAGCTTTAAACCATTCTTGAACCTTTCAATTCTGGGGGTGGGACAAATGCTACCTTTTTTTTGCGCACCTGGACATTTGCGCACCTTTTTTTTTGCTGGAAAAGGCCTTAGGAAAGGTCGTAGAGCTTCAAAAATGTTTTCATAGAAGGGAATCGTATGCGTAGATTCCGAATTTCGACAAATCAGACCTCGCTGACACGTCAAATTTGGGCTAAAAGGCAAAAACTACGCAACTTAACGCTTTTCCGCAGTTTTTGCCTTTTAGCCCAAATTTGACGTATCAGCGAGGTCTGATTTGTCGAAATTTGGAATCTACGCATACGATTCCCTTATATGGAAAAATTTTCGAAGCTCTACGGTCTTTCCCAAGGCCTTTTCCAGCAAAAAAAAGGTGCGCAAATGTCCAGGTGCGCAAAAAAAAAGGTCGCATTTGTCCCACCCCCTTCAATTCTTCATTTATTTGATTGACAACTTGAAAGTTTTCGTACACTTTTTCGTATTTTTCATAAATAAAATATACCAATTGAATTAGATTTCTCTTAATAAAAGTTATACATTATTTAATTTAAGAATAATAAAGCTTATCAAGCAAGCCTAAGCCTAAGCCTAAGCCTGAGCTTAAGCCTAAGCTTAAGCCTAAGCCTAAGCTTAAGCTTAAGCCGGAGCCTAAGCCTAAACTTAAGCCGGAGCCTAAGCCTAAGCCTAAGCCTAAGCCTAAAAGCTTAAGCTTGAGCTGGAGCCTAAGCTTAAGTCTAAGCCTAATAAGCCTAAACCTAAGCCTAATAAGCCTAGACCTAAGCAGCAAGTAAGCATTGCAAAGCTTACTTGCAATGCTTGCCTGCTAAGCAAATTTGGATAACTTTTGGCTTTGGCTTTAGCTATTTATCTAAATTGTTAAATCTAAATCGAAAATCTGGCTATTTATCTAAATCTGTTATGCTCTGTCTTTTTTAATTGACACTAATATCGGTTTTTGTGAAAGAAAGTCCCTTCATCGAGTGTTCATCATTTTTGGTTGCTCAACTTTTTGCCCCCTAGAAATCTGCAAAACTGTAGTTTTTCTAAATCAGTAAAAAGCCTGTTTTAGAGAATAAATGTGCCTCTTTATTGGTCAAAGCTGTAGATTAATTGGTGCACTAGTTATTTCAAAAAAGTACAATGAATAAGTGTATCAATTTTCAAGTTGCTAATCTTAATAGTTTGATTTTCTATTACCATTTTTGTTTTTATAACTAACCTATTTGCTTGATTGATCGGAACAGATGGATAATCATTGCACAGTTGTCCCATACACCAACAAAGTTCCACGGAACGATTACTACTTCGAGCGGCTAAATGCGGTGGCAAGAGGCGATTCGCCGGCATTCGTGTACAAGAAGTGTCTAAAGAAATATTGAATGGATTTAATTTTTGGATTGGTTAACAAATAAGATATTCAATATCAGTAGAACCTAGTTATAAGATTGAAAACCTTTTCAAATCTTTGAGATATTCCCCAGATTCCAACCCAATCAACCCCTTGAAACGAGCCTTATTTTATGGAGCAGTTAGTTTTCAGATTCCTTCGGCTATTTTCCCGGCCGATGTTCTTGAGATCCTTCGCAGAAAAGATCCCCTTGAAACCCATAATTTTCGCGTTGACTCGTTGAAGCTTCCCTTCTTTGCTTGCCGTCTTTCCCTTTCCCATAAAACCCTCTTCTTTTCTTCTCAATTCTAGGGGAACTCCCCCAACATTTCCCTAGTTTTGTTAAGAAAAGAAATCTTTCGAAAAGTCAATGACTCAACAAAGAAGGCTATGCTAAATTTAGATAGAGGAATAGCTTTGCAGAAACGGCTCAACTTTATTTTATTCTGAATCTATAAAGTCAAGAGTAGCAGTTTCTTCAATACTGTTCCTACAATCTAACTTTAGCCTTGAATATTCAAAGATTCAGCCTTGTTTCCTACTTCTGTCAAGTTGGATTTCAAAGTTAAACTCTTCGAATTTCTTGTTTCTTCTAACAAATGCGGAAAAGATTTCCCTAAATTGCTCTTTTTCTTCAAAAAGGAAGCGCTCATCGAATCTTTCATTCACATTGCGTGTTTTGAAAGAAACTGGAAGACCAAAATAGTTTAGCAAAATATTGATTAAATGGCTAAAGTTTTACTCACCACTTGCATGTGATGGTTGTGTGCGAGGAGTGGCACCATATTTGAAAACACTCGAAAAACAACCGCGAATGATATTGTTGCCGACGTGTTGACCTAGAAACTTTTAGGTTCACTTTAAAGATTCATTTTTCTGTTTGAATGTTTGAATTGAATGAACTTGTCAGCTTTTAAGCCAGCCCAGGCAGCCCAGCCAGTCCAGCCAGAGCTTGTAAGCCAGTCCAGCCAGTCCATCCAGTCTAGCCAGCCCAGCCAGAGCTTGTAAGCCAGTCCAGCCAGCCCAGCCAGCCCAGCCAGTCCAGCCAGTCCAACCAGTCCAGCCAGTTCAGCCAGTCCAGACAGTCCAGCCAGTCCAGCCAGTCCAGCCAGCCCAGCCAGTCCAGCCAGCTAGATCAGGTTTGATTTCTGACCGTCAGCAATAAAGCTTACTCTAGTCTAGCTAAACTTTAAACCATTATGCAAAGAATCATGGCTTGGCATAACCTCTTTATTTCTTTCTTTATTTCTTTTACTATGTTTTGAATCTCAAAAAGAATCTCTTTTGAATAAAGATGAAATCCCCGAGGTTTGCCTGGAAGAGCATATGCAACAGGGTGACATTCGATTTGTAAGCGGCCAAGAAAGAGAAAGTGCCAACAAGTCGAAAACGGCCGCCAGAAAATGGCTTGCCCTCTGTGTCGGTGGATCCCAAGGGGATAAGAAGTCGAAGAAGAAAAGGAAAAAGGAATGGAAATCCAAGAAGACACGATCATTTGTATATGTCTGAGGGAAAAGACAAAGGAAAGCCGCCATTTTAGGGAAAAGTCGGGATATGACCTTTTATGTTTGCTGGGTGATTCAATAATTTTTCAGGAAAGTGGCATAGAAGTTGGAATTGAGATCAAGTAATAGAAATCGACTCTGTTTTAGACTAGAAGCTCGGTTAGAAGCCAAGCTAAGTGTTTGAAGTCGTTCAAAAGTGTAGAAGCCAAGTCTGAGCCATTGCTGTGCTAGAGTCAGTTGATCTCTTTCATAGTCATAAGGAAACGTTTTTAAGGGAATATTTCTTTCATAGGCTTTCTATTGCTTTCCCTAATTATCAATGGATGCAAATCAAATCTTTGAACATGGCTCTAATGGTGATTGGATTACGCGCCGCGCTTCAATGCCCCATCTTTCATCTATCAATATTTACGATGAGATCTGTATTTTAATAACCTAGCTTAGCTTTAAGTCAGGCCATGAGTTTGCACAGGCCATCTCACGAGCCACAAATCAGTAACCTAGCCAACTTCCCTAATTATCAATGGATCCTAATCAAATCTTTCAACATGACCCAAATCGTGATTGGATTACGCGCCGCGCTTCAATACCCCATCTTTCATCTAGTTGAGATCTGTATTTTAATAACCTAGCTTAGCTTTAAATCAGGCCATGAGTAGGCACAGGTCATCTCACGAGACACGAATCAGTAACCTAGCCAACTTCCATAATTATCAATGGATCCAAATCAAATCTTTGCCCAAATCGTGATTGAATTACGCGCCGCGCTTCAATGCCCCATCTTTCATCTATCAATCTAATTTTTCATCTAATATTTTCTCCTAAATTTGAATTTAAGAATCTTTTCATAGCTGATTGGGTTTTAAATTCGTTTTTTGAAAATCCTCATCAAAGTTGAGAAGGGAACAAGTGGGTACTTGGCTAGGAAAAAGGTCATAAATTTTAGAGATTTAAATTAGCCTCTAAAATCGACACAACAATTCCAACAACAATCCCCACTTTTTTTTTCAAGCAATTTCTAATCTCTGAATTGTACTCTTCACTCGATTTGCTAGTTCAGCAAAGTCGCACTCAAAGAAACCTTCAAGAGAGGGTCACAAAATTGATAGCCCGCACTCAATCCAATCCCTCTTTCCCCCGCCATTTTCATTCATTTTCATCGGTGCGATATCACTCACCATCACCAAACTCTCTTTCTGTGTTTCTTCTTTTTTTGCCAATTTTGCCAGATTCAATTTATGTGCTCAAAGAAAGATTGGCTGTTTATCACTTTAGAGAAATCGTTTCACACCTCCAATATTTGTCAAATCTTTGGTTTTTGTGAAGCTTGAGAAATGTTACTGATCATACAAATAAGAAAAAGCAAGTAATTTATGAATGAAGGGTTTTTTGGAATTGCTCAGAGCTATTATCGATGAATTTTGGATTGTTTGAGAGCTGAAGTTGTTTTTTAATAGTAAGCAGTTAGCAGAAAAAATGAGATATGACTTTTCATCTAGAATAGATTTTCCAGGTAACAAGTATGTCCTAAAAGGTCTTACCAGCAAGATTCAATTTATGTGCTCAAAGAAAGATTGGCTGTTTATCACTTTAGAGAAATCGTTTCACACCTCGAATATTTGTCAAATCTTTGGTTTTTGTGAAGTTTAAGAAATGCTACTGATCATACAAATAAGAAAAAGCGAGTAATTTATGAATGAAGGGTTTTTCGGAATTGATTAGCGCTAGATCGATGAGTTTTTGGATTGTTTGAGAGCTGAAAGCTGAGAGCTGTTTGTTTGAGAGTTGTTTTTTTAATAGTAAGCAGTTACTATAGCTTTTGAACTGTGAATGAGATATGACTTTTTATCTCGGATAGGCTCTCCAGGTAACAAGTATGTCCTAAAAAGTCTTACCAGCAAGTATTCTCGGCTCAATGACAGTGACACACATCGAATGACTGCAAGGCACCATCCCAATGCTCACTTTTGATGGAATTGAATAGCAATGATCGGTGAAATTCAGTGGACGGTAGTAGACCTGAAATTCAATTTTCTATACCAGTTACTTTTAATGGTTTTAATTTCTGAATTATTGAATGAATGAATTGCTATTTGCTTGTAGATTTGTTAAAATTCTTTGACTTCAATAATGGAAGATCTTTAGACAAGGCAAGCTTTTGAAAGAGGATCTACTCCAGCTCATTCGCAGGATAGATTACAAGAATTTATGTCAAACTCTAGTTGTAAAGCTTTCTGTTATTTGATATTGTTGGAAAAATTCAAATGAGCAATGTGAACTTTAAACATTGGGATACAAGGAGCTTTAAATATCTTTAAACATTGGAATACAAGGAGCTTTAAATAACTTTAAACATTGGGATACAAGGATTTGCTTTAAATATCTATAATCTTATCTATCAATTTAATTAATTCAAAAGTTTATTTGATATTAAACTTCATTTTGAACAGATCCATTTTCTGATAATCAATTATCATCCATCTAAAAATAAGGATGATCTAGAAAAACTGAGTTGAAATGAGAAAAATCAGACAATGATTGACATGTAATTGAAGAGAAATGAGGAGGGAAATGGGGAAGCTTTTTGTGGGTTTTAAAAGAAATTTGAGTGACAAGATCAGTGAGAGAAAGAGATCACACTCAACAACAACTCAACAACAAAACAAGAGTTCAATTCAAACTTTAAACATTTCAAATTTTATATATGAGATTTTCAACTCAATACCAGTCTGGACAAAGGCAAAAGTTTTGTTTTTGTCCTTTCAAAAGGACAAAGGCAATCTTTAAATCTTTGAGCTTCAATTTACACTCAAAGAAACAATGAAGATTTCAACTCTAGAAATAAGCCTGAATTTGATAGGTTTCGGTTCTTAAACTTGTATTAGATGATAGCTTTTTGAGGTTAAAGAACTTCCAGATCAAATCATCAAATTGACAACTTTTGCCTTTGTCCAGACTGGTATTGAGTTGAAAATCTCATATATAAAATTTGAAATGCTTAAAGTTTGAATTGAGTTCTTTGTTTTGTTGTTGAATTGTTGTTGAGTGTGATCTCTTTCCCTCACAGAACTTGTCACTCAAATTTCTTTTAAAACCCACAAAAAGCTTCCCCATTTACAATTTTAGTTTAGCCTACTTTTCCCCCATTGAAATAAGGGAAATCCATTGTTTGATTGAAAAATTTCTTCAAAGAGGTTTTTCTCAAGGAGCTAATGAGGCTCTATCATAATAACACACTTGAGACTATTATTCGGGCCGTTTTATGGTGCCACTTGAGATCCCTCACGCCCGAGATCCTTTCAAAACCAAAAGAATTGTACACTTTTCTTTAGATATCTCAAAAATTAGGAATTTTTTTTTGATTCAAGAGATTGGAGAGTTGAAGATTTAAAGAAAATAGAAAATAAAAAGGAAAAAAGAAAAAATAGACTCTAAAACTTCTTAGATACTTTCTTTATAATCTAGTCTTGGTTCTCTTTAAGTTTAAATGTAAATTAAATAAAGAAGAACAGGATTTAAGTGACAGTGAAGAACAGGGTTTAAGTGGTTTAAGTTAAAAGGAGTTTTCAGGTTTTATCTTTCACCAAAAACGAATAGTTTCTTGTTTTATTTCTTTTTCTAATAGTTTCCATCTTTTTCTATTCCATCATTTACCCAAAATCTCTGATATGTTGCGGGTGTGAATTTTGGAAAAGTTTGAAATCGCATCCCTTTCCTCTTTCTCTTTCTCTTTCTCTTTCCCCTCCTTCTTTAGCTATGCCTTTTGGGGCTCAAATTGGATTGGGTCGGCCCTGTGCCCCTTTTTCCTCCTTCACAACACTAAAATCCCCAAGCTCATTTGACACTTTTGGCGGAGCGTGCATTGGCGCTCGTCAGGAAAAAAAAAAATGAGTGAACTGAGTTTTAAAAAAAAAACTTTAAAAAATTCGGAAAGATTGGAAAGAAGATTTCCGGGTTTAAAGGTAAATTGAACTGAATAAATAAATGATATTGGAATTGAGATTGACTTGAAAATGAGCAAAAATATAAAGCTGATAATCTGTTGGCTGTGACAAAGTCTTTAAACTGGTAGAAATGAGCAATAGATACTATTCAAAGGCTTGATAAACAGGTTCACTACTACACCAAAACAGTATTGCTCAGCTGACATTACTGACAATTGGTAGCTAAACGATATTAGCTAAAACAAACCATTCTAGAGTGTGTTGTTTGTGATACTGATCTAGATCTTGACCAAAAGGCTTTCAAACTCAAGCACTGATTTGAATGATCAAACTATCCTTTGCTCAAGTCTTGCTGATTTGAAAGTCCAGCTGGTTAAATCTATTCAAGCAGTTAAAAATCCGAACATGATTCTTTCCCCATTTCATCTCGAATCCCTTCTTCAATATCAGTTTCCTTTTTCTTTTCTCTTTATGATTCTCCTCTTTGTAAGATGATCCATCATCGCGCGGCAAACCGCAATTTACACATAGACGGACATTGACTCTTCGAAAAGGAGAAGAAAAGGATACTCATGAAAAAGAAAGACAAAGAATTTTAAGCCAACGTTTTAAGCTATGGATAAAGCTACAGTTGAGTCCGATCTTTTAACAGATCTTGATCTGATCTGATCTGATCTGATCTGATCTTTCAAGATAACAGATACTTATACTTACTATACTTAACTTAACATCCTTAACAGATACAGATACATTGTTTATACAACTAGCTCAACTTTCCACCTTTATAACAGACTAAGTCTAAGATCAATGTACAAGCTTTTCAGCTTTTCAGCTTCAGTTTAGCTTTCAGCTAAACTTTAATCCATGATATATGAGGAGATCACTCTATGAAACAACTTCAAAAACGCAAACCTAATCAACTCGATGCAAAATTTGTTTCCACGGTGTTCATCGCCTTTTCATGCTTTGATCCTTTCATCCTTCCACCCTTTCATCCCCTTCTATCCCCCTCTATTCCCCCTCTATTCCCCCTCTATTCCCGAATTCAAATAGAAATTCCCCTCCAATCAATCAGCAGTTCTTTGTTCCCATTTCCCAAAATTGTTCTTTTCAAAGTTTCTTTTCAAACTCATCATCCGAAATTCTCTCTCAAAACATCGAATCTCCTTTTTCTTTCCACCAAATGACCCATTCCGATGAACTCAATTTACTGAATTGAAACCCGGAAAGTTAGGGAGGATTTTTTTTAAAAAGAGAATCATTTCGATTAAAATCAATTCTATAAGAATTAGACCCAAAAAAGAAGTGAAAACTTGACAGCTTTTGTCCAATTTTACATCTTGTTTAAGGTGCTGAAACTTTCAATCCGGTTATACTGAAAAATTCACTGAATCGATGGTTACTTGATAATTTAGAGCAGCTTTTGTTTAAACTAGTCCCTACTTTTGTGAACAGCTTGAACAGTAATTCTTACTTTATTCTTACAGTTCTTACAATCTTTGGATTTTAGGAATTGATTTAACGATTAGTTTATAAGATTATCAACTTTAACGATTAGTTTATAACGGATTTGTTTTTTGATTCGTTTTTTGATTTGTTTATTAATGATTTGATCAATCAAATCAATCGTATTGATTTGATCCAATACGGTTCCTATTAAGTTCTAATATGGTTCCGACACGGTTCCAATACGGTTCCAATACGGTTCCGATTCGGTTCCAATACGGTTCCAATACGGTTCCTATTAAGTTCTAATATGGTTCCGACACGGTTCCAATACGGTTCCAATACGGTTCCAATACGGTTCCAATACTGTTCCTAATTCTTACAATTCCTAAAATCCATGAATTCAATTTACTGAATTGAATTGATGGACCCGGAAAGTTAGGGAGGATTTTTTTAAAAGAGAATCATTCCGATTAAGATCAATTCTATAAGAATTAGACTGAAAAAAGTGAAAACTTGACAGCTTTTGCCCAATTTTACATCTTGTTTAAGGTGCTGAAACTTTCTCTTTGAACATAAGCTCAAAAAATTCCCACGATTCCATCACAAATCCTCTCATCATTTCTCTCAAAGAAAATCTATCTTGCATAAATTTGTTCAAGAGAAAAATTTCAAGAATATTTAGTAATTTGAAAGATTTTATTTAAAGAGAAAGAGAAAACGAGATTTTTGATAGCATAGAATGAACTATCATAGAATGAACTATCATAGAATTAACTTGCTCAACAATTCAATCAAAAACTGAGATTCTATTTTCTCTTTTTGAATGCTCAAAGTCAAACAACATTTCCTTTTCTTGAGAAAAGATTCGAAATTTTGTTAGACGTTGACGAAAAGCTTTTTTTCGGGTTCTCTTAAAGGATTTCAGGTAAACACAGAGCATTGAAGCGGGAAAGTCTCTTTAGTTTTGCACAATGAACAACAGTTTTAGATATAATAATATAATTATGATCTCTTTTCAAGCGACTCACCTCATCCAAGTAGGCCCAGTGGATAAGAAATGACTCCGACATACAGCTGTAGCAATATTTCGATGATAAACTAAACCAATCTTAGAACTGATCTGCTTAACTAATCTTAGAAAATCCTTGGCATAATTCTTGGCTCAAACCTGTAATCAGTCATGTAATCAGGAGAAGCGATGGCCATGATTCCTTTCGGGAATTCAAGCAGAGAAATTAGTAGTGAGACGGTGATTGAAAGGAACAGGGTGGCTGCTAGATAAAGATAAATATGGCTTCAATTGTTTGGACTCTTATAATCAAACTGAAAGTTTTATTGGTTTATGAATTGAAACGATAGTGTTGGGGTATTTCTGATTCGTTCACTGACTAAGTACTTTCTTGTTCTTGTTCTAGTTCTAGTTCTAGTTCTTGTTCTTGTTCTAGTTCTTGTTCTTGTTCTAGTTCTTGTTCTTGTTCTTGTTCTGGTTCTTGTTCTTGTTCCTGTTCTTGTTCTTGTTCTTATTCTTGTTCTTGTCCTTGTCCTTGTCCTTGTTCTTGTTCTTGTTCTTACAGTTTACTATTAGGTTAGTATTGTGTTTTGATTGCGATCAGAATCAATTCCCTTACCTTTACGGGTTGAGGGAAACGGCGGGGCGAGCATTCAGCTTTTCCGCCCACCGCCACCCCGCCACACAACCCAAAATCCAGCAATCCAGCCAAATTTAATCACAAAAATGTGTGATTCTAAAGATTCTAAAGATTTTTGAAATAAAAATAAAGAAGAATTGTTGAAAAAGAAATGAAAAAGAAGAGATTTCAAAGGGATACAAAAGATGAAGACAAAGAATGTCTTTTTATTTATTCATCAATAGCTTTCATCAATAGCTTTCATCAATAGACCTAAATTAGCTTTAGATTTTGAGAGATAAACGAAATAAAGAGATAAACAGTTAAAAACAGAATTCAAAAGGCTAACTTAAATGACTTCAATTCAAAATTGAAACAAAACTGGGTAAATGTTAAGAGAAAATCTCTTTAAGAGGAAAATTTCTTAGATTCTCTTCTTACTTTGAACAATAAGAGACAAGTGCCAAATATATAAAGACGAGAGTTTTTTTTTGAGAGGTGGATAGGGGGAAAGTTTTTGAAAAACGAAGAGAGAATGGGACTGAGAGTGGGCATCTTTTGAAGGGAAGCCGATCTCTATTGAGGGAAAGGGGCGGAGCATTGAGATCCTCTTGGCGAGAATTGCGAAAGGGAAACAACGGGGAAACAGCTGGGGAGATTGATGAGTTTATCAATTCCTTTATCAGCTATAATTTGACGCTTTCCGGTTGATGATTTTGAAAGAATTGACAAGAATAAATGGATGAAGTCGATTTGATCGCAATTCTGATTTATATCAATCGGGTTATACTGAAAAATTCACTGAATCGATGGTTGCTTGATAATTTAGAGCAGCTTTTGTTTAAACTAGTCTCTACTTTTGTGAACAGCTTCATTAACAGCTTCAGAACAGTAATTCTTACTTTATTCTTACAATTCTTACAATCTTTGGATTTTAGGAATTGATTTAACGATTATATATAGATACTTTATTCAGGACCTGAGATAAAGTGCGCTAGATTAAGATTTAAGATTAAAACACATCAATTCATACACATAACACGAAAAGGGCCGATAAAAAGAAACACGATATAATATATGGGTAGCACAGATAACGTCAAGAATCCACTAGAGCTTAGGCTTAGGAATCTATTAGAGCTTAGGCTTAGGAATCCATTAGAGCTTAGGCTTAGGAATCCACTAGAGCTTAGGCTTAGGAATCCATTAGAGCTTAGGCTTAGGAATCCACTAGAGCTTCAAGGCTTCAAGATCAAGATCATCTACAGATAATTTAAAGGTTTCGAGACTATTGGACTCTCTCGAAACTCTGGGGAGTCGATTCCAAGGTCCCAGGTCCAAATTCTGGCAGTTCTTATTGGAAAAGAGTTATAAACAAACTTATTGGAGGTGACTGGAATTTCTAAAAGGAAAGAACCTCTCCTTGAACTAACCGTGGGATTAACTTTGAATAAATCTCGAAAAAGAGGGATAGGTTGCCTGCTCTTTACAATTTTGAAACATTCTATTAAATCCGTGACCAAGCGGCGGTGTCTAAGAGATTTAAGATCAAAAATTTTGAGTCTCTCTGTGTAACTAAAGGATGCAAATTTGGGGGAAATCTATTTTCCATAGAGCTATCTTAGAACCTCTCGAAAGAAAGATTAGTTTATAAGATTGTCAACTTTAACAATAAGTTTATAACGAATTTGTTTATTTTGATTTATTTATTTGATTTGTTTTAATGATTTGATCAATCTACAATTCCTAAAATCTAAAGATTTTAAGAATAATGAATAAAGTAAGAATTACTGTTGAAGTTGTTCACAAAAGTAGAGATTAGTGTAAACAAAAGCTGCTCTAAATTATCAAGCAGCCATCGATTCAGTGAATTTTTCAGTATAACCGGATTCAAAGTTTCAGCACCTTAAACAAGATGTAAAATTGAACAAAAGCTGTCAAGTTTTCACTTTTTTCGGTCTAATTCTTATAGAATTGATTTTAATCGAAATGATTCTCTTTTAAAAAAAAGAAATCCTCCCTAACTTTCCGGGTTTCAATTCAGGAAATTGAATTGATGGATTTTAGGAATTGTAGACTGATCAAATCATTAATAAATAAATCAAAAAAACAAATCAAAAAAACAAATCCGTTATAAACTAATCGTTAAAGTTGAAAATTTTATAAACTAATCGTTAAATCAATTCCTAAAATCCAAAGATTGTAAGAATTGTAAGAATAAAGTAAGAATTACTGTTGAAGTTGTTCACAAAAGTAGCGGCTATTTTAAACAAAAGCTGCTCTAAATTATCAAGAAAGCATATAGTTAAAGTAATTCTATATAACTGTTATTAAATACTCAATATTACAGTAATATAACAGTCTAGAAAAACAAAAAAAACAATAAAAACAATAAAAACAAAGATTTTGCTTTCTCAAAACTCTTTTAAAGAGAAAAATGAAAAGGATTGATGAGAAGAACAACTGTGAATTCATCAATTTATCACTGCTTATCACCTTGTGTTTTTTGTTTGCATCCCAGGGAATTTGTCAAGTCTTTCCATTCATCTTTCAACATCTAACAATGGTTCACTGATCGTTTGATCAAGCTTAACTTTTGGAATTTGATATGTAAAACCAATTTTTCAGTAGTACATCACTTTTAAACGGTACATTATACTATTTTGCACTTCCAGAACTTGCAAAGAATCGCATAAGCTTTGCCAGCTTTGCGGTGGATCGAGTAGTGAAACTTTGAGAAATTTGGCTCAAATACCAAAATATTGGGTTGGTGAATTGAAAACTGCCGGACTTTGAACTAAAATTTATTGAACATAAAACCATAAATTCATTCCAAATAATTTCCATTATTATTGACGACTTCTGCCCATTTTACAGGCAATTTGCGGATTCCTCTTTCGTGGTAGGATTTTGGTTTGTGTGTGAGACAAGTGTGAGACTCAAAAATGGAGGACTGGAGATGTCCCAGTTTGAGCACTTTCTTCAAAAGAAACCCATTTTGGTGTCAATAGAAAAGTTGTAGAGAATCAAAAATTAGGCTTATAGCCAAATTTCCAAAAAGATACACTTAGTAGTTTCGCTTAAAATGCAAGTTTTGTGAAAATTCGTAAATTTCACATTTCTTGAAAACCAGTTTTTGAATCGTTCTGAAAATTTGGATATAAGCTTGATTTTTGATTCTCTACAACTTTTCCATTGACACCAAAATGGGTTTCTTTTGAAGAAAGTGCTCAAACTGTCACATATACCAATAGGCGGCAGTTTTTAATTCACCAACCCAATAATTCAAGGTTTGGATCATTAGATCTATCAGATCTCTTGACAGCAGCTAGTTATGAAAATTTTGATTCTACAAGATCTTGAGAGCTACAAGAGTCTTGAGATAATTGGCTTCAAAAGAAAATTAGAGAATAAAAAAGAATCAACAAAATAGTTTCAAAGAAATCAAAAGATTTAAAATGATTTTCAAGCATCATTTAGAAAGAATTTTAGAGAAGTTGAAAGAAAAAGAAGAAAAGAAAAGAAAAGAAGGAAAAAGAGGGGCACGCCACGTCGAAAATGAGACATTTCTAACTAGAGGAGATCTTTTTGGAGAAGATATTTGACTGAACTGAGTGAAAAAAGAGAGTGAGAAAGGGGGGTCACGGATTGAGTTTCACAGGAAGGGAATGGATAGGAATTCTTTCGTGGAAAGTGGAAAGCTTTTTGAGGAATCATTTCCTCTTTTTGACGAAATCCATTTCACTCTAATTCATCCTTTATTTCAAGACATAAATAGCAGAATGAAGGATTGCTTTTTGAATGAAAGATTGCTTGAATTCTTGCTGATCAATAAATACTCTATGTTTACCTGTACTTTTTGGCACTAGTAACTTGTTTCAGATCGAAATTTAGCTTTGAAAAAACAGCCTTCTAATCTGCATCAATGGTAAATGCCGCCCTTTACTAAAATAGCTGTAAAAAATTTTAGAAAAGAGATATCTCAAAACGGTTTTTACCAATCGATCCGTCTTGAATTCAGCTTTAGGATGAGCTATAAAACGTCGAAATTGGACAAATTTAAGGTACTCTCCCAAAAAATCGGAAAGGACCTTTCCATTAACCCAATACAAATAAAGAAGAACTAGAGAAATAAGAAGATTAAGTTAAAGAAAGTTGAAAAAGAGTCAGAAGCTAAATCAGAAGTTCAAGACTTCAAGCTAAAGCCAAATCTAAGCGAATGGCTAAAATGTCAACGATTGGATTTGAGAAAACCTTGGCTTTAGCTTAGCTCAATTCTGAAAATTTAGCTCTTTTGCTAACCCTGAGATCTAATAAATCTATTTTAACATTTGCATAATGTTTGCACAAGTATTGAAAAAGAATTGAAAGAGGCTGAGGGCTGAGGGCTTAGAATAAGGTAATAATGTTGGAAATGATTGTCCGATACATTGACGCTAAACTACTGAGAGCTTAGAATAAGGTATTAATGTTGGAAATGATTGTCCGATACATTGACGCTAAACTACTGTAATTGCTTTGTAAGGCAAACTTCTGTAAGCTTGAAAAAACAGCCTTCTAATCTGCATCAATACATCAATACAATTAATAGGAAACTTTTGAATTGAAAACTTTCCAAGTTTTCCAGTTATTTTGCTAATTTAAGTGATTTTTAGTCAAAAAATTTCTACAAATCTTTATTTTTATTAACATTTTCTATAGCTTGAGCAATTTTCTTTAACTCGACAGTTCCCACTCCACAACAACCACCAAAAACATTAGCGCCAAGTTGATAGCATTCAGAGATAAACTTCAACCAATCCACTTTCTCATTTGATGGTAAATAACTGAAATAGTATTGTTATTAATTTTAATCTTCTAGTAGTTTAATCTTCTTTTTTTTCTTTACCAATCTTTCTCTGAATTCCACGTCTCTCCAGAGTTTGGATACACGAAAATCGGGATTGGAATTGTTTTTGCGTTGATTTCTTTCAACAAATCTAAAGTTTTTTTTTGTAAATACCGTATTCTCTCTAATAGTAGTGCACTCTTTAATAGTATTGCGGTCCGAGAGGGGATTAAAAAAATAGTAGTGCTCGAAAATTTGAATTTTCTGGTGCTTCTTTTTCATCTAAACCTTTTTGACTTTTTGACTTTATGTTTATGTAACATTCTAAAGGTATTCAAGCAAGCAAAAGTGAGCTTTTTTTTATTCATTTATTAGCTATTTTTCACATGAAAAAGTTAGCAAAAAAAATCTAAAATTGTTGTGCAAAAGGGCAAAAACATCTTTTTGTTGTTTGTCAAGACACAAACACAAACAATTACTACGGTAATTGTCAACTCGCCGGCTCACAACTGTATGTCAAAAGAAGCCAAAGGAGTACGTGAAAGAATTGAAAGAATTTTGGGAACAAATCTTATATCTGTCTTACTTTGGTAAATGATAAAACTCTTTAATAGTAGTGCACTATTAGAGAGATCTAGTAGTGCATCTAGTAGTGCACTCTCTAATAGTATTGCGGTCCAGGAGGGGGTTCAAAAAATAGTAATGCGCACTACTATTAGAGAGAATACGGTAAGCTGATTTTTTGTAAAAAAAAACCGACTTACTTGGTACAAATTTTGGATTTGTGCAGTTAATACCGATTCCATATATCCATTCAGATTTCAGAACCCGAGCTATAGTATCCTTCAATGGAGTTCCATGACAAAGGTTTACATCGTCCTGAAAATCTATTTACCTATAGTAAACCTTGAAGTTTATCGTGGAACAAAAAAATTTCCCCACCTTACACGAGAAGCTGATCACTGATGGGATCTGTAGCTTTTTTATGGTGTTGAGAAAAATCATTGCCTCTTCATCAGCGGGTATTGTCTCGTAGAGGATCACATTGATTCCTGTGTCTCTCAAAAGTTTAAAGTGCTCTTCTTGATATTGAGAGATTTTCTGAAAAGATCTATGACTATTCGAAATCTAATATCAACATCAATCAATCAAATCAAATCGATTTTTTAGATTGACTTAGATAATACTTACCAGGGATCTGGGCTTAATCTAAATGTTCAATCTATCAGTATTACTTAATCTGGGCTTAATCTTAAACTAAATGTTTCAGTCTATCAGTATTACCTCTAAATGCTGCGGTTGATCAACATAATTTCCGTGATATTCCGAAGCATCTCTCAATGAGACTCCATAAGGTCCAAGTGATCCAAGAATTATTGGAAAATCTTGATTTTCCGAAGTTCTTGATTGATAAACGTCAAAAGCTGATCGAATTGGATTTAGGAGAAATTTTCTTGGATCTTCTTGAATCCCTTCTTCATCCAAATATCTCTTCACTAAGATTTGACTCGCGTGATAGGTGTTAGTGGAAACGATTTGACATCTAATTGTCTTAAAGCTGAAATCGTACTGTAGCTTTACCAAAGAACAACAAAGAACAATAAAGAACAATAAAGAACAACTTTTACATAATAAACAATAAGTTTAAAGCTCACTTCTCATAGACTTCTCTCGTTTGCTGATCGCTTGCACCACTTGTCCATAGTTTGTGTTTCTAAAACACATACAGTTTTTTTCGATCACATTCAGTTTTGATAATGAAGACTATGCAATTTGAATAAAGAATAATAAAGCTTAGCAAGCCTAAGCCTAAGCCTAAGCTTAAGCCTAAGCTTAAGCTTAAGCTTAAGCCTAAGCCTAACGTAAAAACCACTTTCTATATCTCAACTTCCAGACACGACCACTATCTGAAAATTTGCCAGGATGCTCCTATGGAGGGCGCATGAGCATCGCCAAGCGGGTGTCCCTTAGCTCCGAGAACTGGTTGAGATCCAGAAAATGGGGGTTCAGCCCAAACCCAAATAGATTTAGTGCGAGGCGCTAGCCGCTAGCCTTCGCACTCAGTCCAGTCTTAGCCTAAGCCTTAGCCTAAGCCTAAGCCTAAGCCTAAGCCTAAGCTTAAGCCTTAGCCTAAGCTTAAGCCTTAGCCTAAGCCTAAACTTAAGCTTAAGCCTAAGCCTAAGCCTAAGACTATGCAATAAAGTAAATGTAATTGAATGTCTGTTAAACGCACTGTAGAATCAAAGCCGATCTCTTGTAAAGCCTCTGAGAATGATCCATCAAATAAATAGGCACGATTTTTATGTAATCCTTGAAAAAGTGATGTCATCGATTTAAAATAGAAAGAAAAATAGTGATTTAAGGTTTAGCAAAGAATTTCAGCGTTTGAGTGACTATAAACTACAATATTTTTGATTTTTTGTCTTTTGAATCAATGGCCAATAAAGCTGGAAAAAGATTTCAAGATTTTAAACCTTAAAAAACTCTCTACATTAAGCATTTTAACTTGAAATTCTTATTTATTAACTTTAGTATAAAACTTAAAAGAAATATAGCTAATTTTAAACTTTTAAAATGATCTCTTGATCAAAATGAATCATTTTAATCATTCTGATCATCGCTTGGATCAAGCGATCATTTTAAAAGCTTAAAATTAGCTATATTTGCTTTGAGTTTTATTCTAAAGTCAATAAATAGCCAAGCGATGATCAGAATGATTAAAATGATCCATTTTGATCAAGAGATCATTTTAAAAGTTTAAAATTAGCTATTGGGTTGTCCAGTTATGAATGCGCGTTTTTACTACTTTGTAAATTTCTCAAGATATCGAACAGATATATATGAGTGTTATATATCATTCGAAAGTTGAAGATCTCCTCTACATTTTGATATAAACAAGCTTTTGAATTTGTTCAGCTTTTGGGCAAATTGACTGCACAAAGGGAGAGGTAGTTTTCGAAAAAAAAAACCCATTTCAGCTTAGCTATTCCTCAAGTTTTATGGTGTAAAATAACCGCCCAGAAAAGAAAAGAAAAGTAAAGATGCTCTGAAATTGTTATATTTGAAAAAAAGTTGTATTGATATATCTATTGGCCAAACATCAAACGGTTAACTCAATTTGAGCGGAGCCAAAACTTGATCCAAAGGCACCCTTCCATTTTTTGGCCACCTCTTCTTCTGTGCAGTCAATTTGCCCAAAAGCTGAACAAATTCAAAAGCTTTTTATATCAAAATGTAGAGGAGATCTTGAGCTTTCGAATAATACTCATATAAATCTTTTTCTTGATTTCGGTATCTTGAGAAATTTACAGAATAGTAAAAAAAGGCGCATTCATAACTGGACAACCCAATAATATTTGTCAATTCTTAAGCTTTATTTATTAATTATTAGATATTGATATTATTGTTTTGTCTTTGTACCTGCCAATCCTCACAAGACAAATCCTCATCAAGACACGGTGATCGATGCAACCAATCGACACCTCTTTTCCACGATGGACCAAGGTCAAACTAAAGAATTTATTAGAAAATTGTCATTATTTATAAAACCAACTTTACTTAAAGCGTTCTGAAAAAGAAAATCATCGTCTTCTCGTTTACATTGATGAACACGAGCTTGTCGAACAATCTCCGATCCAACGCCAGCGAGAATTCCCAATGATCGAATCGATAACTTTTTCAAGTATCTCGGTTGACGATCTGAACTTGTTCTTTAAAAAATATTAGTCGTTTTTTCATTTTAATCATTTTAATCATTTTGATCATCGCTTGGATCAAGCGATCATTTTAAAAGTTTAAAATTAGCTATATTTGCTATATTTGCTTTAAGTTTTATTCTAAAGTTAATAAATAAGAATTTCCAAGTTAAAATGATTAATGTAGAGAGTTTTTTAGGTTTAAAATCTTGAAATCTTTTTCCAGCTTTATTGCTTTATTTATTTCTTAACTTTAGAATAAAACTTAAAAGAAATATAGCAAATATAGCTAATTTTAAACTTTTAAAATGATCTCTTGATCAAAATGGATCATTTTAATCATTTTGATCATCGCTTGGATCAAGCGATCATTTTAAAAGTTTAAAATTAGCTATATTTGCTATATTTGCTTTAAGTTTTATTCTAAAGTTAATAAATAAGAATTTCCAAGTTAAACGTATCGATGCTTTAGATCTAGTGGCTCTTTGCCGTAAGTAATTGGCTTATTGATTTCAGTATGTATTGTATGATTAAGTATCACTGTGCATTTCTCTATGATTTCTTTCACTTTATCGTTTGAATAAAGTATTATTATTATTATTGTTAAAGATGCTTAATGTAGAGAGGTTTTTTAAGGTTTAAAATCTTGAAATCTTTTTCCAGCTTTATTGATCATTGATTCAAAAGACAAAAAAACCAAAAACAACAAACAGAAATATGGCTTCTACTAGAGAAGCTATATTTCTCTAGTAGAAGCTAATATAGCTTCTATTAGAGAAATATAGCTAATTTTAAGCTTTTAAAATGATAGCTTGATCCAAGCGATGATCAGAATGATTAAAATGATCCATTTTGATCAAAAGATCATTTTAAAAGCTTAAAATTAGCTATGTTTGCTTTAAGTTTTATTCTAAAGTTAATAAATAAGAATTTCCAAGTTAAAGATGCTTAATGTCTCTCTCTATTTCGAGTGTTTTTCTTGTTCTTTTTATCTTTTTAACAAATCGACTTTCAAAATTCAATCATTTATTTCATCAGAACACAAAAATTTGATATTCAATCAAATGAATTTAAATAAAAAATATTTACAAGGCTCAATTAATATTCAACTTTTTTTTTTCTTTCTTTTGCAAAAACCGGTCTTAAAAAGAAGAAATTGTCATGACTAAATTGAGGATTTTTTTTTTAAAGTATTAAGTAGTTTTTCTTTAAAAATAAAAAAAATAATCGTAAAAAATGAAAACCGTAATCACAAAGCACTTAAGAAAATGATTTAGGAAGGATTCAGGAAAAGATTCAGGAAAAGATTTTGGAAATGATTTAGGAAGGATTCAGGAAAAGATTCAGCAAAAGAAAGATATTCTGCCTGCAGGAAAAAGAAAAAACAGCGATTTTCTTGTCCAGTTGGACAAGATTGTCAACATATAAGTGATTTTTTTAGGATTTTTAAATCCTAAAATGAAAAAAGGCTATGGGGAAAACTGGGAAACTTTAAAGTTGATATACAGTACTGGACAATGAAATAGCATATTTGAAAAAAGATCGTCACTTTCGCGCGTCTGTAATTCCCTTGTCTTTGCGTTTAAACTATTAGTGTTATACATTTTCTGAAAGCTCTTTTCAAGGGCTACACAATGGTAAAATTAATATTTAGAAATACGGTAAAGACAATGGAGTTACAGACGCGCGAAAGTGACGATCTTTTGATATATGATATTTCATTTTCCAGTAGTGTAGTTGATATCAATTTGTTTAAGATTTCAAGGTTGTGCCATGACTTTTTTTTGATGTGATGGAGTGGAATTCTTCGGCGCCACCAACATCGCGTCCAACTCATCCGTCAAATTTTGCAACATATAACCGATATCGTTGAGCACGTTTGGCTTATTTGATGTGTCGGTTGAAGCTCTGGAATTTATGGGAAATTTTAATTGAATGTTAAATAAATGTTAAATAAATGTTAAATGAATGCTTTAAACTCTTAAGTAGACTTACGTGGATGAAAAAATGTCTGTAGTTGGAGTGTTGTTGCTGGACTTGACTCGAGCAGAGTTTGATGAATCTCGTTGTCTAAAAAGATCAAGTTTAGCTTGGATTTGGATTTCCATCAAAATCGATCTCACCTAATCGTTCCACAATTCTCATTAGCAAATGGCAATTGCTCGAGACTTGTCGATGAGGTGGATGGAGAGGGATTTGAGGTGACAGCTGATTGGAGACGACGAATTGAGGCTTCAGAGAAGAGGGGAGCTGAATCATTTCTTTGATCTCTTTGATCTCTTTGATCTCTTTGTTTGGTTTTGTTTAAGTCTGACTGTTTTAGAACTACTAACTGTCAATTCCGTTTTCTGTTTGCCTTTAGTCTGTACCTGGTGGTGGAGGGCAATCAGCACCGGGTGGTAACGGTCCGAACAAATCCTGACTACAATTCTTCGATGCTTCACTCAAGATTTTCCCCGTTGAGTGTAATTGAAGACGAATTCGATCCCGATTATCAAATAGAGGATCGTAATTGATTCTTCTTGGCGTTGAAAGTTGCGCAAATTCCTCAATATGACCACGAACTGGGGGTGGAGGTGGATTCTAAACAAAAATAGGTTAAAGTTGAAGAACTTTTAAACTTTATCTACCTTGTTTCCTCTTGCATAGCTGATATAATCAATATTATCATTGATATTCATTGAAGTCGTTGGCTTTGGATGAAAAGTGCTGCCAGGCGCTGGTGGTGGAGGATCAAGAGTTCTCGATCGAGCACTTTGTCCAATGATTGGATGGGGATGAACTTGTATTCCAATACTTGGCTCAACAGATTGAATAGTTGGACGACGGAAGTCCTAGAATTTTGAGTCAAGAATTAACCTATATTACTGAAAGCTTTCTTACCTTAATCTTCTTGATCGCTAATCCAAGTCTCTTCAAATGTCCCAATCGCTTTATACCGATATCCTCAAAATCTTCCCAATTCAACTTCATCACTTCTTGTACTGTTTCATAGCCTTGTTGCATAAAAACTTCAAAATATTCAGGTAAAGCGAGGATTGTGAGCCATTCTCTGAAAATTGAGCTTTATTGAATACTGTCTAACTTGAAGTCTAACTTTAATGTCTCATTCTTAGCGCTAGTTTAATCTACAGTGTGCGATGGTTCCTTTTCTCCACAAATTTGGTTCCTTTATTCCAAAGGTTTGGTTTCTTTTCTCTAAAGATTTGGTTCCTTTTCTCTAAAGATTTGGTTCCTTTTCTCTTCAGATTTGGTTCCTTTTCTTTACAGATTTGGTTCCTTTTCTCTACAAATTTGGTTCATTTATTCCAAAGGTTTGGTTTCTTTTCTCTAAAGATTTGGTTCCTTTATTCCAAGGGTTTGGTTTCTTTTCTCTCAAGATTTGGTTTCTTTTCTCTACAGATTTGGCTCTTTACTCTACAGATTTGGTTCCTTTTATCTACAGATTTGATCCCTTTTCTCTACAGATTTGTTTTCCTCTTGAAATCCAATATTTTTTTGATACTAAAAGTATAGTTGAGATAAACGAATGAGAACTCTAAAGAGAAGTTAGATTACGCAACTGTACGAGGGGATTACATTCTATTTGCGTATATTTAAAGTATTTTCTATATTTAAAGTATTTGTGGTAATTTGTTTCTTTAAGTTTAACCTTAATCCTCCTTGTGGCGGCATACAAGGCCAACTATCCGTGATATGCCATGAATGAATCTCTTGAATCAATCGTTTTCGATGAGTCGGCGATGTGATCCCTAAAGCATTCAAATCTTCTGGAGTGATTCGAGCAATCGATGAGAGATCGTAGCCTTGTGTCAAAAACATTGACAAATATTCGCTCATTCCCATTCGATCAAGCCACAGAGCGAGGATTTCAGCTTCCTATAGAATTTATAGAAAAATTCATAATGAAATTTACCATAAATACTGTAATTGGGACCGTACAGTCGCGTAGTCGCAAAAGTTTTTTTAGTCTTTCATTTTTTTCAAAGCACCCGTACTTTCAAAAATTGCGTCTTTGGTATCAAAAAATAGCCCTGAATTCCAGCTATTTTTTGATACCTAAGCGAGCATTGTAGCATAAACCAGTGTCGAGAAAAACTCGTTCAAAGCTAGACTACGCAACACTTCGCACCGTCATTATGGAGGTGGGGTACTATTACAGTATTTACGGTAAGTAAAGTTTAGTTTTTCCACTTACTGGAATCCCTTTAGCGACCATTTGCGTGACATTGATTTGATTCTCGCAAAATGATCCATAAGTTGAGTCCTCAAAAGTGTCCACTGAACAGCTAGCAAGCGAGCCATGACCGCTAAATAGATGAAAGATGTTAATGATTATTAGGACAGTATTAATTGACTGCTTAAGAGCCATGGCTGACTGCTTAAGAGCCTTTTATCTTACTCGAGAGGGTTCAATCCTGTTTCAATCCTGGCTAGTTTATTGATTTAGAACTTAGTGCTTGTTTGTACCAAATTATTTTAAAAAAATGTATTAATTTATCTGACCTTCCTCCACTTCCACTCGAATGAATTGATATTCTTGACGGTGGAGAGTCTAGAGTGCTTGTTTGTGGAGTGTTTGATTGAAGAAATGAAGATGATGGAGTTGTAGTGGCAGGGAGAACAGGAGTTGACTGAAAGTTGAGCATTATATAGCAATTCTCTAACTGTTTGCTTCAGTAAGTGAGGGAAACGATTCTTAAGATCTAAATCTATTTAAGATCTAACCTATTAGAGTTTCTAGTAATAGATTATTCTAAGATTTAGTTAACCTTCATGCTTTCAAATCCCGACGATCCTTGACTTGAGTTGGATCCGGTCGAGTTTCGATGTGATGGATCAGTTGAAGTGGAACACGTCAATGACATCCCTGCAATTAGATATTAAGTCAAAAAAAACTATTACTATATCTAGATTTCTTTAAAAACAGCTGAATAGGAAACGCAACTAATACTTAGCCGTTTTTTTCTCGATTCGATGTCACCCCAAAGAGAAGAAGGTCTCATTTTTTTTTTAATTACAGCTGCCCCATTTTTTTTACGAAAAGACCAAAAAAAGGTTAGAATCTAGAGAAATAAAACTAATCAAACTAATGTAATCAAAAAAATATTGGAGGAAAGGTTTGGGTTAAAAGATTTTGGCATCAAAAAGATACTGGATCAAAGCTTGGATTCCAATTTCTTTTTTAAATTAAAACCTAAAGACTAAAGCTATAAACTCTAAAGCAAATGATTTATTTTAAAATACTAAAATAGAATTAATGAAGAATTGTTTTTAAAATTTTTGATGGATTCATGAGAACGTGTAGTCAGAGAGGCCAAAAATAGAAAAAAAGGCTTATTTTCTCGGCAAAATTCTGAGGGATAAAATTACCGACTTTTTTTTTGTTGTGGTTGTATAGATAAACATTCATGTATACTATATAAAGAATAAAATTTTAATTTATTTTAACGAATGAACTTTATAATTAGATTAGAAGTGGTAAAAGAGTAAGATTTGGTTGGGAAGAAGTCAGGCTTCGCCTGGATTAGAGATCAATCCTAAATTCCTTGAAATCTCGAGAACCGCTTATCAGAGCCTATCGATGTGGGATCGGAAAATGTAGCTGACGATGAGATCTTGACGATGATTAGAGTCTTGAGCTTCTGCAAAAGCTTGGAAACCGTAAAATAGTCACCAACTCGGCCCGGTGCACTACTATTAGAGAAAATATTTATTTACAATAAATTAAAACATTGTTATGATCGAAATGGGTACTTTGTGAATCCAATTCGATAAACGCAAGAGTAAAGTGAAATGAGTGACCGGGACTTTGATATGGGAAAGAGAGGTGGATCATTGAAGATGCATGAGTGCCCCCTCCTTCACCTCCAACTGACCAGGGTCATTCCATCAAAGTTCTTCAGCAAAAACTCCAAAAGCATATCGAAAAGTGAGAAAAGATTGGGAAAAAAGCTTTGCTTCCATAGTAACCGAGCTCATCTTTCTAAAAAAAAGAGACAAACTTTTTTTTTTGTAGTGAAAAGAGTTCATCAGACTAGCTTGTTCGACTAGAGTGTGTTTCTCACGAGTAATCCATTTTTTAAAACGCACACTTAGGAAAAATTACCGTACTTTTAGCGAAAAGTATTGCAAAAAACGTCGATTAATCTAGTAAAAATCACTCATGCAGATTTTACTCGAGTAATTACTTACTCGCGAGGAAAGCACTCGATTTTCGACTAGTAGATGAAAATCGAAACCAGAACTTCAAGAGAAATCAAGAACTTTACTTAGGAATGATTGTTAGTTAAGCAAAAAGTATCTGTACGGGCTCTTTCTCAGCCGTCTTTCAGCCAAAAAAATCCTTAAAAGTGTCAAAATATAATATAGTTGTATCACTTAAAATTAAAAATTTAAAAGGTCGAAATTGAGTGGCACTACGGGAGGTCGAACCCGGACCGTGGCGGCAGTAGAAAAGCGTGCTTCCGACTGCGCCATGGCATTCCGAAAAATTTGCCCAGAAAAACCAATGATTAAGCGGGTTTTCGGCTGGCTTTCAAATAAAACTTTGAACTAGATATTCAGCTATTCATTCATAAAAACTGGGGACTTCTAAAGCCATGTGAGGGGAGTAGTGGATGGGTGAGTGACAGCTCACCTCACGTTCTCCTTTTTATCGACCCCATTTTTCTCCTAGAAGCATTGATGAGGTGAGTGAGTCGACTGAGGCAAGCTTTTAAAGCAAAATTTCAAATTAAAGCAATACGAGTAAATCTTGTATTTGAATTGAATATAGAATTGTAGAACTCTGGCATTTAAGTGACTGGTAATGAGAGCTAGTAATCATTAGCTAAATGAAATCGATGACGAAATGAGGAATGAAATTGCAAAGAATGATTTGAAAAAGCTTAAATGTTTTTATAAAAATTGAATGTGCTTTTTGATTTTGTCTAGAAAAAGCTAAAGGAAAAAGGGGGATTTCCCTCCTCTTTCTTTGTCCATATTTCAAAAGACAATAGTATTTTTGCACTCTCAAACATAGAAACATAAATGAACTGAATAATAATAAGCCTAGAAAAAGAAAATAACTAAAAAGAGAAGCGGAATAGAATGAAAATCGTTTAGAAATAGATTTAGGGGGTAGGTTAGTTTCCGAAATTTTTTTTTTGCGCAACTGAGTCGTTTGCGCAAGCCATAACTTTTTTTAAGTGAGCCAATCTTTATGATTTTTGTTTCATTTTGTAGCTCAATAAGTGTAATAAAAGTACTGTAATAGGGAATACTGTAACTGCTATGCTTACTGCAATAGGGATCATTTGATCAAGAGAAACAATGTGAAATAGCGAAGGGGTACGGTCCGTACTTTAGAAAGCACTTAAGTTAACGAATTTGTAGGAAATGGGGGTAGGCTAGAAAAAGCCTAGAAAGCCTAGAAAGCCTAGAAAAAGAAAATAACTAAAAAGAGAAGCGGAATAGAATGAAAATCGTTTAGAAATAGATTTAGGGGTTAGGTTAGTTTCCGCAAATTTTTTTTTGCGCAACTGGGTCGTTTGCGCAAGCGATAACTTTCTTCTAAATCGGCCAATCTTTATAATTTTGATGTCATTTTGTTGCACTTATTGAGATTTACAAAATGAAATCAAAATCATAAAGATTGGTTCACTTCGAAAAAAGTTATGACGAGTTGCGCAAAGACATTTGCGGAAACTAGCCTACCCCAGATTTAGCTTTTAAATTTGGATTAAATATTTTAATTATACATGTTTCTAAAAGAAAAAAAGATAGAATTCAAATGAATTAAGTGTTTTTTATTAGTTCCAAAAAGTTTGCTTGATTTTGTTCCCTTAAAGAAACCCTAAAACAGTTAATCTAAAAAAGCTCGCAAGAATGCTCAAAATTGAACTTGAAAACAGCTTATGGTCAATCTAAACTAATCTAAACTTGAAAATGGATCGGAATCTGAATTGTTCAAAGCTTGCTTGAAGGATTTTGAGGATTGAAACAACAAATTGAAAGCCTTTTCCTTCACAAAGAGTGGCCCATCTGGTTCTTGACAAAGGATCGCTTGAGGTTTGGGATTTTGGCTTTTTTCGATTCTTTTTCGATTCTTTTTCGATTCTTTTGCTATTCCCTTCTCATAGCCCACTAGAAAACCCGTAAAACCACCAAATAACACTGACTCATTGAAAAAAATTGATTCTATTCCCACCACAGCTGCACTTCCTGTTCAGATTTCAGAGTTTTAAGAATTTCAGATCTAAATTTAAGCTTATGATTAGATTATGATTAGATTAAACTTGGATTAACAGTTCAGTTTAACAGTTTAAACCCGTGCTAAAGCTAAACACTTATTTTCAAGCCTTTTTCTGGAGATTTCTGGATGGTTAAAGATTTATCTTCAATCTAATCAATTAAATTAAACAAAATTATATCTAAACTAGTCAAAAGTTAAAATAAAAAGTCGAAACTCTTCAATGTTCTCTCCATCAAGAAAGCGACGTTTTTCAATGTACTCTCCATCAAGAAAGACGACTTCAACGTTCTCTCCATCAAGAAAGACGATTTCAATGTTCTCTCCATCAAGAAAGAGGAATTCAATGTTCTCTCCATCAAGAAAGCGACGATCAGATTCAATAGAGCTAAAGCTCTATTGAATCTAATCAATTAAATTAAACAAAATTATATCTAAACTAGTCAAAAGTTAAAATAAAAAGTCAAAACTCTTCAATGTTCTCTCCATCAAGAAAGCGACGTTTTTTTCTTCTTCTTTAGAATTGCATTAGGGGCGAGGGTTGAAAAAAATCACCTCTAAAGCCGAGAAAAGCGGTGAGAAATTGGAGAAGATCGAGAAAAAAACACGAAAACTAAAGCTCAAAAAGCAATGTAGACAATGAAATGTAGCAAAAAAATGATCAAAATCTATTTAAGTATTATTTTTGAGCTCTTTGTGCGGCTTGTTAAAGTTAAAGTTGCAAGATTTTTTTGACAGGATTGAATCAAGTAATTAGATTGTCAGATTCAAAAAAAAGTTGTACTTTTCGATAGTGAGCTTCAAGTGTTTTTGTTTTCAAAAAAAGTCGAGAGATTTCCCATCCATTTCATAGGATCTCGAGAGTGGGAGGCATTGAAATCAAGCACCCACTGGAAATGCAGAGATTCCCATGCACACGCGATCTCTTTTTCTGCTCTATATTCCATAAAAACTGGCATAGTATAGGTGAAGAGAAGCTTCTGAAGTCAATAAAAGATTTTTAGAGTTTTCCTTGAAGCTGATCAATCCAAAACTTATAGAGGGTGGGAGGCATTGAAATGAAATGAAATGAAATCAAGCACCCGCTTGAAATGCAGAGATTCCCATGTACACGCGATCTCTTTTTCATAAAAACTCGGATAGTATAGGTGAAGAGAAGCTTCTGAAGTCAATAAAAGATTTTTAAAGTTTTCCTTGAAGCTGATCAATCCAAAATCCATCAATCCAATAGCTTATTTTAACTTTAAATTACGATTTAGCTCTTTTGAATCCATAATTTGTATGAAATTTTAACAAAAATTTCTACAAAGTACACTTTAATTTTCTTATTAATTCTTTTTCTTAAAGCTCACATTGTTGATTTGTATATGAAATGCGAACAATTGGCACTTCGTATACAGTTGATAGAAGACTAGCTGGACGAGAAACACGAGCTGGAGGCATTCAGCCTAATCAATTCGAATTTAGAAACTAGAAAAGATCATCAAAGTTTTGCAATATGTAGAGAATCGATTCAAAGAACAGGAATGGAATTGCTTTGATGTGTATAGTGCGGTCTTTTTCAATGCATATTTGGGCAATGATTGCAGTCTGAATCGACGATCGGAGCTTTGATTTCAGAGCGCAAGAGTGCGCAAAAAGGTCAACTCATTCACTCTTTTGAGAAGAGAAAAGGGAAAAGAATGAGAGAAAGGAAAGGACTGTCGATTATCGCTCACGAATATTAATAGATTGATTGATGGAATGTTTTTGAGGAAAATTGGTAGTGACAGCCGTTGCAGAATCTAGCTGTCAATGGCTCAATTTATCGTAAGGCTTAGGCTTAGGCTTAGGCAAGATACCAAAAGTTACAGTGTCTTTTTCATAAGGATATGAAATCCAAAAACAAATCAGTTTTGTTGACTGAATACTTTTTAATCGTGCCACTGCAAGCCAAGACAAAAGCTTGGCTAGAGCTTGACCTGGATTCGAGATTTGAATGAAGCTTGACTAGAGCTTGACCTGGATTCGAGATTTGAATGAAGCTTGGCCTGGATTCGAGATTTGAATGAAGCTTGACCTGGATTCGAGATTTAAATAGAGATTTGAGGTTTTGAAATCACATTGTTTTAAAAGAACTTAAAGACTTCCAGATCTAACTGGAAAATCGTTTTTATAGCTTAATTTAAAACGAAACTTTTAACAAACAAGCATCAAAAATCGGGTAGAAGTCGCAAAAAGTAGGTTCTCGAGATGTTCCTGGTGTTCAACACATTCACATTCACAGAATTCGGAGGGAAAAGAAAATCAAAGCAAAGACAAGAAGTAGAAGAAAGAAAGACGAAAAGAAAGGGATAACTCAATCGAATTTTGGGACAAGGATTTGGGGGAGAATGGGGTAAAGAGAGTAAAGAGAGTAAAGAGAGTAGAGTAAAGAGATTAAAGAGAGTAAAGAGAGTAAAGACATACAACATCTCTTCTTTTTCCCCACAACTTGTCTTTTTCTTGTCTAAGCATTTAAAGGGATTTCTACTCGTAATTGCCCGATCTTCCTTGCCATATGGGCTTTCATTTAGAGTTTGATTGGAGTAAAATGCTGGGAAAGTTACATGAGATATTGATTTTGAAATTTGAACTCTATCAATTCTTAAACCAAATTCAAATCTACAGAATAAAGGAATAAAGTTTTTGTCAATGAGAAAATAATCTTATTCTTGAAGCTACAATCACTAAAACCTTAAAGTATTGCCAATTTAGTCAAATCTCTAATAAAATTGAGTTGATTTTAACAAATCAACTCAATTTTATTAGAGTTTATTAGACTCAATCAATGACACTTAATTCCTTCAGATTTAAGGTTCTTAACAGCTTTTAAACGCTTTATCGATATTGAAAAGCTGTTAAGAACCTGTTAAACCTGAAGGAATTAAGTGTCATTGACGCATTGATCAAATACTAAACCAACCCGATTTCGCATTCAATCCATTGAAGTTGTAGTGGAATTGATCAAGACTAGATCGAATTCTGAAAACTTCTTTATCATTCTGATAACTGGTAGAGTCTTTCAAAGTCTTTCAAAGTCTTTCAAAAATCAACCTGTTATTGTTTTGTGTATCTAAGCATCGATCATCGCTCAATCGAGATCGTTGCGTCAATGGAGTTGGGAAATTTTGAAGCTCGTCAGCTGAAATGAAGTTTGAAGATTTTGTTTATTTAGCAAGTTTTACCTCGTGAACAAGCAATGGCCATATTTGGGACAATCGGCACGGACACTTTCTTGGCGACTCTTTGTGTATTTGTGGGAGTGGCGAGCGGGGTTGATGGACCAGCGACTCGTCCCGACATTGAGATCACTAAAGATTTAAGTATAAATATAAATATCTAAATCTTATATCTAAAAGTGGATTAGGTTGAGCTCTTTCTAACTCTTTCTAACTCTTTCTAACTCTTTCTAACTCTTTCTAACTCTTTCTAACTCATTCTAACCCTTTTAAACTCTTTCTAACTCTTTCTAACTCTTTCTAACTCTTTCTAACTCTTTCAAACTCTTTCTAACTCTTTCTAACTCATTCTAACCCTTTTAAACTCTTTCTAACTCTTTTAAACTCTTTCTAACTCTCTCTATCTTCCTCTATCAACTTTTGCAAGTGATTTATCTTCAACTGTGTTCGCTTTTGATTGTCAATCTTCTAGCTTGTTTTCTCAATGAATCTACCACTATGTCTGCGAATTGTAGCCGGTTTTCTTCGATTCATCCGCATTGTGGCACATTTGTAAAGATCAAAATCGTTTTGTTCTTCTTTTAAAACAAAAAGCGATTGTTCTACTCGTTTTTTTAGACGAGGAAGAGACATTTTTGAATAAAAGAAATCGATTGAGTTACTAAAAGAAAATAGAAATTAGAAATTAGAAGAAGAAAATAACTCATCTCAAATATTTCAAAATGATTCGAATAGGTTTTTATTTTTGAAAACAAAAGCAAAAGCTTTACAAAACAGAACAAGTGTTTAAAAAATGCCAGTTTTCAAGCTCTTATCAAAAGCGAACAAAAAATGGCAATTTCCGCTGGCTAAATCCGCAGCAAAAACGGTAAACTTTGCAAAAAGTGAGCATAATTTCGTGCTCTAAACAAAATCAACTCAATTTTATTAGAGATTTGACTAAATTGGCAATACTTTAAGGTTATAGTGATTGTAGCTTCAAGAATAAGATTCTTTTATTGAAGAATGCGCTAGGATTTTACAATGAACAGCTCTAAAAGCAAAATTTCCCAACTCCATTGACGCAACGATCTCGATTGAGCGATGATCGATGCTTAGATACACAAAACAATAACAGGTTGATTTTTGAAAGACTTTGAAAGACTTTGAAAGACTTTGAAAGACTCTACCAGTTATCAGAATGATAAAGAAGTTTTCAGAATTCGATCTAGTCTTGATCAATTCCACTACAACTTCAATGGATTGAATGCGAAATCGGGTTGGTTTAGTATTTGATCAATGCGTCAATGACACTTAATTCCTTCAGGTTTAACAGGTTCTTAACAGCTTTTCAATATCGATAAAGCGTTTAAAAGCTGTTAAGAACCTTAAATCTGAAGGAATTAAGTGTCATTGATTGAGTCTAATAAACTCTAATAAAATTGACTTGATTTGTTAAAATCAACTCAATTTTAATAGAGATTTGACTAAATTGGCAATACTTTAAGGTTGTAGTGATTGTAGCTTCAAGAATAAGATTCTTTTATTGAAGAATGCGCTAGGATTTTACAATGAACAGCTCTAAAAGCAATATGAGAGAGGAAAAGAGATAAAATGAATGGGAATGATCGGAGGAAAAAGTATCGAGTAAAGAAAAGAGATTGGGGAAATGGAATGGGCTCAGGTTTGTGTGATGAGGATTGTTTTAGAAATACTTTGTGCTTAAAAGGGAAACACTTTGGCATAGAATTTCTATTTATTTATGAATTTATGAATTTTTAAAACAAAAAGCTATTTTTCTACTTGTTTTTTTAGACGAGGAAGAGACATTTTTGAATAAAAGAAATCGATTGAGATTACACTAGTTTACTAGAATATTACTAGAATTCTACTAGAATTTTACTAGAATATTACTAGAATATTGCTAGAATTTTACTAGATGTTTGCAAGAACACAAAGTAAACTAGCAAACTAGCACAATAAAGCTTGATCAAGCTTCTTTGTAATTGATCTTGAGCTTGATCAAGCTTCAAAAATCTATTCTTCACAAAGAAAAGTCATGAATCACAAATTCCCAATAGAAAACTAAAAACTTGGGTTTCTTATCAAAGATGTTTGTTTTGAAACTCTTAAAGTTTACAATTTGGATTGTTTTTAAAAATGAGAATGACTTAAAAAAGATGACTTAAAGATCCTAAACTTAAAAAATTACTATGCAAAAAGATATTTACATTTAAAACATAATCTCAATAGTCACTATCATTCCAAAAATAAACATTTGTGAAATGAAATGAAGCAGAAAGAGAGAAAGAGAGAAAGAAAGAAAGAGAGAAAGAAAGATAGAGAAGGAAAGAAGCTGTTTATGCTGAATGTTCGGCAAGTGAATAGAAATCATTCATATAATAATCAATACTCTGCGAAATGATGTGTCTTTGGGAGTTGGAAAGAAGCTGAATTGTGTAAATGGACTGAAAGAGTTCAAAGTCTATTAAAGTAGATTTAAGAAATTTCAGTTTATGCTATAACATTAGTATCACAAGCTGGCGTTGGTTTTTGGAAAGATTGGAAAGATCTTTATCGTCTTCTCGAAACGTGAAAATACTCTTATCAAAGTTTGGCAAGAGATTGGATTATGTGAAAACTTCAAAACAAAATAATCATCTATTCAATCGTCTGAACATATGAATAGAAACTTATTTGTCCTACCGTAAATACTGTAATAGTACCTCCATAATGACGGTGCGGAGTGTTGCGTAGTCTAACTTTGAACGAGTGTTTCTCGACACTGGTTTATGCTATATCGCGCTTAGGTATCAAAAATAGCTGAAATTCAGGGCTATTTTTTGTACCAAAGACTTTTTGGTACGGGTGCTTTGCAAAAATACTAAAACTTTTGCGACTACTCGACTGTCGAGTGGGGTGGGGTACTATTACAGTATTTCAGTAAGGCTTACAGTGAATGATACAACAGCTTAGTTCTCAAGTTACTGAACTTTAGGCTTAAAGCTTTTCCCTTGCCATTACCCTGTTCCCTTGAGATCGAATTCTCACTCCTCCCCCTTTCCATCCCATAATGTTTCATCGTTTTCACTGCATCTCAATTGCTCGTTCAGGTAATGACGAAAGGTTTCATAAAGCACATACCGTAAATACTGTAATAGTACCCCAGCCCCATAATGACGGTGCGGAGTGTTGCGTAGTCTAGCTTTGAACGAGTGTTTCTCGACACTGGTTTATGCTATAATGCGTTTGGTATCAAAAAATAGCTGAAATTCAAGGCTATTTTTTGTCCAAAGACTTTTTGAAAGTACGGGTGCTTTGAAAAAAATGAAATACTAAAAAAACTTTTGCGACTACGCGACTGTACGAGGGGGGGGTGGGGTACTATTACAGTATTTACTGTAGCTACTATTTATGGGTTTATTTTAATGACTAGCATTGCAAATTTCTAGTATTTTACTATTACTTATTACTTCTAGTATTACAAAGTTTAAAGAATTTGAATAAAATTTGCATAAATCGATTGCCAAGCTGATTTATTCAGAATCTTTAAATGGAAATTTTTGACTGATAAATGGTTGATACAATGATAATAAATATGAATATAATAATATACAATATAACTATAAAATACTGGTTTAACGATCTGAAATCTCTTTTCCGATCTCGTTAATCAAAGGACAAAGCTAAGAGCTTAAAAATTGTACATCTGCCAATTATTCGTTAAGGGCCTCTTTTCTACAAGAGACTCTATCTTGCAAGTGTGAAAAGACGATGGATTCACCGCGATTCGTTTCATCTTTTCTTTTCATTCTGTCACCATCTATGGGATGTATTTGCCTCCTCTCAAATCCATTTTTGATATACGACCGATCATTGAAGATAGGCTTGTCTCTTTTGTCTCTTATCGACCATCTGCCCTTCTCATTCATGAACATTTGTGATAAATGTCTTTGAGTAAGAATGGGTAAAGCTTTTATGCTTAAAATGGAAAGCTTAAGTTGAATGAAGGGTTATTAGAGAATGAGATTGAACTAGCACTCTTTAAGAACAAAAGAATAACAAAAGAACAAGAAAAGAACAAGAAAAGAACAAGAAAACAATAACAAATTAAAGAATGCTTATCTTGAAAATATTGGGTTGGGGAGAAATGAGTCGGCGCCGAAATTTAAAGAAACTTTTTGCACCCATAAAACCTTCTTTAAATACACGTTTTGTTTCATCAAAATGGTCGACTATTTCTTTACAAAATGGCTTTTGAGAGATTCCACAAAGCTTTTCTTTTTTGGGATTTTATGAATTCCCAAACACAGCTAATTAAAATGACAAAAAGTGCGACTCATTGCTTGAACAGTTTCTTCCACATAAATCTCCTTTGGTGTTTATATAAAAAAGATAGAGCACACTCAATTACATAAGTTACCAAATTTTCAGGAAGATCCCTCCAACCGTTTACTCTAGATGACAGTTTATCGATTTTGTGAAAAAAATGATCCTTTGTTGAGTTGAGGCGCTGTTTGAGTTCTCTTTTAAATATTATTTTGTAGAGAATTAGTTACCCTTCTACGGATATCATATCATTTGACAAAGTCTGCTATAAGTTTTAGAAATTTCTTTGATTTTCGGCGCCGACTCATTCTCCCCAACCCAATAGTAAAATGTTTTTGATTGAATAACTTTAAGCGATAATTTTACCCTCTCTTATTTGTAGACAAAGCTATAAAAAAAACTTTAAATGATAAAGAAAGGCTTAGGTTACCTTCTTAAAGTCTAGATAAATAAAGTTATCTTCTTAAAGTCTAGTACTGGAGAAAGTAAACGATAAAAAATGCTTAGTGAGTGACAGGTGGTGGCACATTATCCAGGTGGATATGGGCAAGTGAAGGAAGGTGCGCGATTACAAAAAAACCCCATTGACTGCTATGAGAGAAAAAAGCTAAAAGAAAAGTAATTGGCTGCTTGCAAGGGTCAAATATCTTTCCTTACTTGCTAGAAATGGTTTGAGAATTGTTTGATTCAAAGAAAGTTCAAAGTTCAGTTCATCTGAAGATTCAATGAAAAAGAATTTCCGTAAAAAGATGTGCGATAAATTTTTCTAGATAGAAAACGGATCCTTGGGGATATGGAAGAAAAGAAGGACTCAATTCCGGTCGTTTCACCTTCCGGAGAGGTCCACTCTTATTCCATTTCTATTGAAAAGAGAATAATAAATATTTGTTGGTTTGAATAAACAGGAATTGAACAATTCGTGGTTTGGAGTTTATAGAAAAATAAAAACAATAAATTTTGTTTTATTTGATTATAGAAATCAAATATTGAATGGGATTGTTAATTAAAAATTCGGATTTTAAAAGATTGAGAATTAAGATTGAGAATTAATAGAAGAAATAAGAGAAGAATTAAAAGAATTGACGGGAATGGGACAAATGCGACCTTTGTATTTGTCTCGCATTTGTCCCACTCCCGAATTGACGCATAATCGTCTTCAAAATACGAGTAGTCAATGCATGTATTGAATTGAATTTGATTTTCCAACTCTGATTCACTTTTTACATAGCAATATCAATAATCAAAACGAATTATCTATATTGCTGTTGTACCGTACCTATAGGCCCTCTTTTTTCCCCTCCTGGCGGCAGTATGGGGCCGTAAGGTGCACACTATTAGGAGATACGGTAGTCGTACCGGTGTCCATGAGATTGAGGGGGATAGAATTCTATGCATTCAACATCAACGATTACCTTTCAATATTAAAAGAAATTATTCTTATTTATACCCTCGATAAATCGATCAAACTTTTGGAAAAATCGGATAGTCAAAATACAATCGGATAGGTTACCATAAATGCAAATTTACAACTTTGTTGAGAAAAGAATAATGCCAAGGGACATTTAACATGACAAGAGATGAAGAAATGGAAAGGAAACGAGATTTTGGAAAAGAGAAATCGAAGAAGAACGGCTTTGTTCAATTTTGAGGGAAGATATTGATGGAAAATTGAGAGATAATCAATTTGAGAACAATTTTAACTTTTCTTTTCAACAAATTGTTATTTTAAAATCAAACAGTTTACTTTTTTTGATAAAAGTCTTCCAAAAACTAATTGTTTTGACATTTCAAAACATTAATCAATCAAATCGATTAGAAATGGTGGAGAGTGGAGATCAATACTCTATCCTTTTACCCCAGAAATGGTGTGAACAAATGAGTCATATCTTTTCTCTTTGTGTTTTCTTTTCTTTCTTGTCACCTCCTGTGACATTTCTTGTCTCTTCCCGATCTTTCCTTTTTTGCATTCACCAAATCTTCACCGTTTCTAATCGATTTGATTGATTAATGTTTTGAAATGTCAAAATCATTAGTTTTTTATCAAAAAAAGTAAACTTTTTGGTTTTAAAATAACAAAAAAAGGAAAGATGGGAAAATAAGAATAATGCAGAAATGGAAATAGGACGAAGAATGGCTTTGTTCAATTTTGAGGGAAGATATTGATGGCAAATTGAGAGACAATCAATTTTAGAACAATTTTAACTTTTCTTTTCAACAAATTGTTATTTTAAAACCAAACAGTTTCCAAAAACTAATGGTTTTAACATTTCAAAACATTAATCAATCAAATAGATTAGAAACGGTGAAGATTTGGTGAATGCAAAAAAGGAAAGATCGGGAAGAGACAAGAAATGTCACAAGAGGTGACAAGAAAGAAAAGAAAAGACAAAGAGAAAAGATATGACTCATCCGTTCACACCATTTCTGGGGTATTGTGTAAAAGGAATAGGATAGAGGTAAAAGGATAGAGTATTGATTGTAGATATATCTGATATCAGCTTTAGAGTCAAATCGAGAAAACTATCCAGGAAATTCAGAAGAACAGGGGCAGATGGATATCTGTTGGAAATGTCCGTATGGATTGAGTGGGGGAAAGATGGACCCCTTGCACACCCCTCGACACCAAGAGAGGATTAGATGGGAGAGAAGACAGAAAGGACTTTCCCCTTTCCCCAACAACAGTCCCCCCACCCCCTGTACCCTATCTCTTTTCCCTTTTCCACTCCTTCTCAATCCACTCGACTCGACCTGACCTTGTACGGCCGATCAACCAATCCACCATCTCTAAATAGTCCCCTCCACACCCATTCCATCTATTGAACTCCCTAAATCAAATGGGTTTACTTCTTTGATTGAAAGGTAGATAAAATGGTAATCAAAACAACATTGAATAGTACTGTTTTGATAATAGTTATCTCAAGAATGGTACTGTGATAATAGCTATCTAGATAATAGTGATAATAGCTATCTAGATAGTAGTGATAATAGATATCTAGATAATAGGGATAATAGCTATCTAGATAATAGCTATCTCAAGTTACTGAACTCAATGTCATCTATGTAAAACCAGTCCTTAACCCTAAGGTTTCTGTAATTTGCCCCAAATTTCAATCTTATCTCTTTGACAAGATTGTCTAGTCTAGCTATATAGTTGGATACGCCGGTTCAGGGTCTGGGATTCGAACTGGGTGATCTAACGCTTACCCGGCGAACGCTCTACCAATGTGCTACACCAACATGTATCTCGTTACCGCCAGGGTTGGGCTTTATCCCTTACTGAATGCCGAAACAGGACAGCCAAGCACATGTTTCTTACTTTTATGACAGCCGCTTGGCATATTTACTATCGTACATATTTACTACAACTAGGTACAATACTTTTCAAGTTATGAAAAGTTTTGATCTTAAAAATGACAAGTTTCAAACATTATTATCTACTAGAAATTCCTAAAGGCAGCTTCAAGAACAGAAGAGAAGGAAGAAACCAGCATGATTCCTTTTATTTTCTTTTCAATCGCTCTTTGATTGACGATTTGTGTGAACGGACACATTTCGGCGATTCGTTTCCCTAGTCTCTTTTGTCAAAAAAAAAAACGACAATGAATGCTTGAAATATACTGAAATGATGAATGGAATGAAATGATTGAAAGGAGAAGGAAAGGAAAGGAAAGGAAATGGTTGGAAATTTTTAAGGGAGATGGAAATCCGTAGCTTGAAAATGAGAGTGATATAATTGGCTTTAAGTTAAGCTATGAACTGGCTACAATTTATTCGTACAGCTGGGGTGGCAACTTTCGAAATCTATCTTCTTTTGGTCTGATTCTGTATAGGTTTTGCGAAGAATGCCAAAAATGGGGGTGGGATAAATGCGACCTTTTTTTGCGCACCTGGACATTTGCGCACCTTTTTTTTGCTGGAAAAGGCCTTAGGAAAGGTCGTAGGGCTTCAAAAATGTTTTCATAGAAGGGAATCGTATGCGTAGATTCAGAATTTTGACAAATCAGACCTCGCTGACACGTCAAATTTGGGCTAAAAGGCAAAACCTACGCAACTTAACGCTTTTCCGCAGTTTTTGCCTTTTAGGCCAAATTTGACATTGTCAGCGAGGTCTGATTTGTCGAAATTCGGAATCTACGCATACGATTCCCTTATATAGAAATGTTTTCGAAGCTCTACGACCTTTCCTAAGGCCTTTCCACAAAAGGTCTGCCAGGTGCAAAAAGGTCTTTGCCCCCGTTCGGTTAATATTTTAAGTTTTATTAATGGTTTTAAAAGTATTTAATAAGGTAAATAATTAGCTTTTATATAGATTTTAAAAATTAATTAGAATGAGGGAATATTCTGATTTCAAAAAGGTCAAGCTTACAAGTTTTATGTCGTTTTTAACAATCATAACGATTATTAATTAGTTAAAACATTGAAAAAAGAAAAGTTTAAATGTAAATTTAGCATCTTTCCAATGGCTGAATATTTTATAAAACCCATGAGAAAAGTTTGATGAAGAAGAGTGAATGGTTGATGATGATTCACATTAGCAAATTCATTGCCACTTATATTTGATGGATATTTTGGTGAAAGGAGAGGAAAAAGGAAAAGAAAGGGAAAAGAAAGAAATTTTCACCCAATCATTGTGTCATTTATTTTCCTTTTTCCCCCCTCTCACATAGGATACTTAAAATGCAAATTAGTGTCACTGAGGAGTTGCATTGACTGCGTTTCCTTTCAAGGATTGTTTCATAGATTGTTTCCAAAAGTTTAGAGTAATTAAATTTGATTTTCAATTGGTAGACTTAAATTGGGAGAATAAAATAAATAACTCCAATCGATTCCTCGACTCCGAAAACCTACAAACAACTGAATATCTGAACAAACAGCAAATTCGTGTCATCGAGTCGTTGCCTTGACTGCTTTTCCTTTCAGGGATTGTTTCTTAGATTGTTTCCAAAAGTTTAGAGCAATTAAATTCGATTTTCAATTGGTAGATTTAAATTGGGAGAATAAAATAAATAACTCCAATCGATTCCTCGACTCCGAAAGCTACAAACAACTGAATATCTTTTTCTATCCAATGAAAGCCTCGTTCAACCTGAACACGTTAGATGAGTGGATTGAGGAAAACAAAAAGGAGCTCTCAGAAACGACTGTCAATGAAAGCATAAAGGAAAAGGTTGGTTTGAGTAAATTTTTGATAACTCTGTTATATTTAGATTCAAGCTGATGAGAGTTACATCTCTTTCGCGGATAATCGACAAATTTTCGACCTTGAAAAGCAATGGACTGAGGACAGGTGTGAAAAAATCCCAAAGGACGAAGTGTTCTTTGTGCGGTCGTGTAATCGCTTGCGATCTGGCAAATCCTCCGACATCATACCCCAAATCGAATAGCTATCGGAAATGCGGGGGAACTCTCTTCTCAACAGATATGCACTAGGGGGGGATGATTATGAATGGATATGTGAGGAGAAAGATCGTTGATGGGATGAGGAACGGCTAATTATGGCCACCAATCTCTCTCTTTCCTCATGTCAAAAGGCAGATGGACATCTCTGCAACAATCAACAGGCTTTCCCCTCACTATAGATTCTCCCTTTTCATATTCAATGAGATTTATGGGTTCTCGAGGTGAAGATTTGATCGCATTTCTTCATTTTCTTTCTTTAATCAAGTAAAATCAAGCAAAAATTAAGTATTAAGCTAAGATTTCAACTATTGACTAAAATTTTTTAGCTTAACTATTTGAAATTGAAGTGAAGCACGTTCTAGACAAGTTACAAGTAAGGAAATTAAAATATTCAGGTTAAGAAATAGTTTTTAACTTTAATAAATGATTTATTTTGGTCAAAATTTGATCAACTGAAAAGTAAAAAACGAAAAATTGAATTAATTTTTGATTAATGCGAAGAATTTAAATCTTTTAAATAACTTTATATATTAATTTAATGATTAAAAGAATAAAGTGATTAAAATTGAATATAAAGTGAGTCCAATTGATTAGAAAAAGTTATTCAAAAGATAAAAGTATAAAGTTATCAAAATTCAATATAAAAGACTAAATCCAATTGATTTTCAACTCAATCTGTTAGCTCATGTGGTATTTTTGAGCCATTTTCCACCTCTATAGCACTTCTTTTATGCAGAAAAGAAATTTTAAAAAAGGCTGCTACGCAGGAGTACGCGATGATACTCTTTACCCGGTCTTCTATTCGAAGAAATATGGTATGTAAATTTTCTTACTTGTGACTTGTCTAGAACGTGCTTCACTTCAATTTCAAGCATAAAGTGATCAAAATTTAATATAAAGATTGAATCTAATTGATTAGAAAAAGTTATTCAAAAGATAAAAGCATAAAGTTATCAAAATTCAATATAAAAGACTGAATCCAATTGATTTTCAACTCAAAATAGTACTCAATGTCGAAAATTTGGTGAGAGTACCCGAAATTTCAACGTTTTCAGGTTTTCGGGGGTTCTCAGTGACATTCGATCGCTCAAAAATAGCCCATCGATCCCAAGGCCGACTCGAACAAAAATGGGAATTTCTCTGAGCAACGGATCGTCTCAATTTGTAGCTCAATCTCAATTCAATCGAAAGCTTTTTCAACTAACCAAGAATTGTTTGCTATTTTGACTTTGTTCTCCAAATTCTTCAAACCTTCCCTTATCTTTTCTTTTCTTTTCTTTTCATCACAGCTTTGCAAACACAGTTGAACAGTATTTATATAGAAAAGAATATAAATAAACACTTGAAAATGATAAAAGAATCAGAAGAAAGTTCTAAAGATTTTCGTTAAGTTTACTAAAGTCAACTTTATCTTTGTGCTAGCTAGGTTACAGAGATTTCCAATTGATCGTTTAAATGTTTAAATTTCATATGTTTAAATGCGACCAACCTGCCGGCGGTCGATCGATCATCCGAACAGTGGATGGACTGAAATATCCAGCTCGCGAGTTTCCCTTTTGTCCGAAAATGATTCCTTTCCAACGACCTTCTTGTGAGGCGCGATCAGTCACCTGCAATTTCAAGAGTTATTATTATTATATTATTACTCTCTATTATATTATTTATCAATAATCTCAATTCAAATACATTATTTAAGATTTTGATTCTTAGAAATCTATCATCAAAATGATTGATAATCGATTCCAAAACTCAACTACTAATTTAAAGAGTTATTATTATATTATTACTCTCAATTTATCAATAATCTCAATTCAAATACTTGATCTTGACTCTTTAGATATCCCAACAATATTTTATTCTTAGATTAGATAGATTTCTATTATCAAAATGATTGATAAAGAAAGAAAAGATTGACAAAATGATCTAAAACTTACTTTTTATAGATAAACGAATCTAAAACGATTCTAAAATGGTTCTAAAACGATTCTAAGACTTATTTTTTATAGATAAACGATTCTAAAACGATTTTAAAATGATTCTAAACTTGTTCTTTATAGATAAACGATTTTAAAACAATTCTGAAACTCAACTACTCTTTCTAGAGCTTATTAGAAGTTTATGGAAAAGAAATTCTTAGCCATTTTGAAGCATTTCAAATTTAGACTTAAGCTAAACTATTGTTAAATCTTAAAGTTGAAAATCTTAGTGCCTGTGATAGAGTAAGTGTGCTTCTCTCGGGTTTTCTTCTCTCAAAAGCTCTTGAGAATCTCGGGCTATCCATATCAACAGTAGACATTGGACGATCCAAATACGAGAGTGATCGTTGCTGCACGGCAAACGGATCCCTTATCACAACACTCGAATTTACATTTGTTTCATTTCTTTCCGAATACATCGACATCGACATGAGATCTCTTTTCTTTGGACTGATCACATTCTCGGAGTATGTAGAAGTCGACATGATTGTTGAAGAGAATCCAGAATCCGAGCTTTCAGAATGCATCGATTCAGACATAACTTTCTTCTCGATTTTCTCAATTTTCTCATTTCTCTTTTCTTTTATTCGTTTTTCATCGATCGTTTCTTGGATTTTTGATGATTTCGACGTTCGGTGGAAAGCCCGACGAAGGCGATCCATCAATTAAATCGTTGGGGAACACTGGAAATGAAGAACTTGAAGAAATTAAAGAGAATAAGGACAAGAAATTGATGATAAAGGTAAGAGAAATAGAGAATAAGAACAAGAAATTGATGATAAAGATAAGAGAAATAGAGAAACAAATCATTATTAGAGTCAAAAAGAAATGGTAGATTGTATTGAGGATTGAGGAAGCGCAAGTGAAAGAAAAGAGTCAGTAAAAAGTCAGTAAAAACTTTGAAGCGACAACTCGAAGCTTTTGAAGCTTTCGAATTCGAAGCTTTCGTTTTTCATCGATCGATTTTTGGATTTTTAATGATTTCGACGTTCGGTGGAAAGCCCGACGAAGGCGATCCATCAATTAAATCGTTGGGGAACACTAGAAATGAAGAACTTGAAGAAATTAAAGAGAATAAGGACAAGAAATTGATGATAAAGGTAAGAGAAATAGAGAAACAAATCATTATTAGAGTCAAAAAGAAATGGTAGATTGTATTGAGGATTGAGGAATCAGTAGAATCGCAATTGAAAGAAAAGAGTCAGTAAAAATTTTGAAGCGACAATTCGAAGCTTTTGAAGCTTTCGATTCGACTTGAAGCTTGAAGATTCGACAATTCTTCAAAACACTCTTCAATTCATCAAATTTTTACAATCGAAACCAAAATCGATTTTGCAATTTTAGTATGAAAAGTTTGAAAAGAAAATTTACGGGAAAATAAGCTTTCTTATCAGAAAATCTTTTTTTTCTTTGCTGTAAAATGATTCAAAGTTTCTGTAAAGGGAAAAGGGAATTTAAGATTTCAAAATATTAAATAAAAGCTGAGATATTATTTGATCTAGAGTGAAGGACTAATTTTGAAAAGTTTGAAAAGTTTGAAAAGAAAGTTCCTAGAAAATAAGCCTTCTTATCAGAAAACCTTTTTTCTTTGCTGTAAAATGATTTAAAGTTTCTGTAAAGGGAAAAGGGCATTTAAATTTTGCAAATATAATATCTCTGCTTTTATATAATTTGATCTAGAGCGAAGGATTGATTTGGAAAAGTTTGAAAAGAAAATTCCCGTAAAATAAGCGTAAAATAAGCGTAAAATATCAGAAAATCTTTTTTTCCTTGCTGTAAAATGATTCAAAGTTTCTGTAAAGAAAAAAAGGGAATTTAAAATTTCAAAATATTATATAAAAGCTGAGATATTATTTGATTTTATTACTCCTTCATCGTCATCTTCCCTTCACCACCAAAAAAGCTATTTAGTTCCCCATTGAGCTTAGGGTTAGGGAGCCGTCTGTCATGACGTGGGTTAAGTTAAGATATAGCCTAGTATTGTGTGTGTCGTTGTATTGTGATTGATATATTTCGTGTATGCGATAAATTCACCACTGGTAGCCCCAGTCGGTATTTAAAAAAAAAAAAAAAGCTGAGATATTATTTGATTTTAAAATAAGATTTATAGCCAAAAAAACCCTTCTTTTTTGATGAAGAATTTATGAATTCTCGTATCGTTTTTCTCTGCGGTAAAATGGCTCAAAGTTTCTGTAAAGGGAAAAGGGCATTTAAAATTTGAAAATATAATATCTCTGCTTTTATATAATTTGATCTAGAGCGAAGGATTGATTTGGAAAAGTTTGAAAAGTTTGAAAAGAAAATTCCCGTAAAATAAGCTTTCTTATCAGAAAATCTTTTTTTTTTCTTTAAAAAAAAAAAAATTACCGACTGGGGCTACCAGTGGTGAATTTATCGCATACACGAAATATATCAATCACAATACAACGACACACACAATACTAGGCTATATCTTAACTTAACCCACGTCATGACAGACGGCTCCCTAACCCTAAGCTCAATGGGGAACTAAATAGCTTTTTTGGTGGTGAAGGGAAGATGACGATGAAGGATTCTTTGCTGTAAAATGGCGATTCTTTGCTGTAAAATGGCTCAAAGTTTCTGCAAAAGGGCATTTAAAATTTCAAAATATTATATAAAAGCTGAGATATTATTTGATTTTAAAATAAGATTTATAGCCAAAAAAAACCCTTCTTTTTCGAATGAAGAATTTATGAATTCTCGTAGCGTGTTTTGGGCATAAAAAGGAAAAGAAAAGAGAGACGTAAAAATGGAATCTCCACATTTTTGATTTACCAAAAATAAATAAGGGTTTCAATTTTGAATCGAAATTTGTTCAAAACAGAATTGAGAAGATTAGAGGAAAGGAATTGGCTAAGAAAGGAAAGGAATTGGCTGAGGAGATCGATCAAAATAAGGCTTAAAATTAATTTTACGACCAAAGCAAAGCACCATCAAAGATTCCAAACAGAATCTACCATAAAAACTTTAAAATAGCTTTCAAAAAAGCTATTTTTGTCATTTTGTAAATTTTTGAGCTTTCTAATGATAGCTTTCTAATGATTTCTAATGATTGTAGCTTGAATGCTTGAAAGTTTATTTATGTTACGTCCGATTTAGACTGATTCGAGATCGGACGTCCGATTTCGACTGCTTCGGGATCGGACGTCCGATTTCGAGTGTAGTGAGGCCAAGCGTTCAATCTAGGATCAAGCGATCACTCTAAATCAGACGTCCGACTCAGACTTAGATTTAGAGTGATCGACTTGATTCTAGATCGAATGTTTGACCTCACTTCACTCTAGATTAGACGTCTGAGCTAAAGTGAAGGAGTGATTCTAGATCAGACGTCCGATCTAGAGTGAAGTACTGATTCTAGATCGGACGTTTGATCTAAAGTGAAGGAGTGATTCTAGACCAGACGTCCGATCTAGAGTGAAGTACTGATTCTAGATCGGACGTTTGATCTAAAGTGAAGGAGTGATTCTAGACCAGACGTCCGATCTAGAGTGAAGTACTGATTCTAGACCAGACGTCTGATCTAGAATCAATCTAGATCGGAAGTAACATTTATACTAGTGTTAGTACAACAACTATCATCTATCAAACATTCTAACTATCAAACAATTCCAATAGTCAAATAAAAATTACCAAAATATAGAGGCTTTTGCATAAACAAATGTGTCTAATTTTACTTGAACTGAGAATTGTGGAGGATGAGTGAAGAAAAGAGAAAAGAGAAAAGAGAAGGTTTGTGAAAAAAGAATGAAAGAACCCATATCTCTACTCAATCTACACAAATTTGAAGAAAAAGAATTGAAAAGAGAGACAAAGAGAGGCAAAGAGAGAAACACAAATAGATGGATCTATTACAAAGAGAAGATAGAAAGAAGATGAATGGAAAAGAAATTAGTTATTTGAGAAACACTTAGGGGAAATTTGGTTGAATAGTTTGCCTAGTAGTGAAACAGTAAACGAATAATTCTATTCAATTATCTGTCCTTAAAGTTATCCTTTGGTCCATCAAAGGTCCATCCTTTGGTCCATCAAAGGTTTATCATTTGGTCCATCCTTTGCTCATCCTTTGGTCCTTTTCAACCCGATTTAGTTACCCAATATGAGCGTACAACTTTAGCTCAAACCAACTTTACCGGCTGGTTTAATTCCTCAAATTTCTAGCAAATGGAAAATGAAAATGGAAAAATTGGAAATGCAAATGGAAAAGGTACAACTTTTTATTTAACAAAAGCTCTAAACTAACTTGTAAACTAAAATAAAGCTGAAAATCTTGAAAAACTTGCCTTGATTGCCCTTTGGTCTTTTAAAGAAAGATTCTGGAAAGAAATCGGATCCGTAAAAATTGAGGAAAAGAAGGAAAGGGAAAAGATCCAGGCAATCAAATGAAATTAGCCTTTGTCCATCAACCTTTGACCATTAGATAAAAGAAAGAATCTAGAAAATTTCGATTTTTTTACAATGGAATTGAAGAGTTACAGGTAAGATATTGGCGCCAAAATGCATTCAGGTAGAAGAAGAATGTTTTGAATTGGTTGTAAGGTTGTAAGAAAGAAAGTTAAGGTATTGAAAAGTATTGGATAGGATTCGAATTCTTTGAGAATCTCTGTGTTCTACTA